AAAGCACATAGAAAAGCCGATGGCTTATACTATGTTGATGCCAAACTAAATAAATCTCAAACATGTTATTACACAGATCAAAGCAAAATTCATCACTGGCACAGGAAACTTGGTCATATGAATGAAAATGACATGAAGTTTGCTTTAAGAAATAAAAGCCTAAAAGGTTTAGAATTTGGTTTAAACGAGAAACTTGGAGATTGTGAAATTTGTATTCAAGCCAAAATAAAAAGACTACCATCTAAAGCTAATACTGTTCCTCGTACTACACAACGATTAGAAATCATACATACTGACGTTTGTGGACCGATGAAGTCTGAAACTTATGCAGGTAACAAATACTTTGTTACTTTCATCGATGATCTTACTCGGTATAGTCGTGTATATTGTATCAAAAAGAAAAGTGAAGTATTAGACAAATTTATGGAATTTAAATCTGAGATGGAAAATTATACTGGCAATAAAATAAAATGTCTTCAGTCAGACAATGGCTTAGAGTACTGTAATAATGAATTTGAAATGTTTTTAAAGAAGAATGGTATAACAAGACGATTAACAGCTCCATACACTCCTCACCAAAATGGTATAGCTGAAAGAAAGAATAGAACCCTTTTAGAAAAAGCTAGATGTTTAATGATAGAATCTGGAGCACCGATGACTCTATGGGGTGAAGCTATATGTACAGCGAACTACATTTCGAATAGAAGTATAAATAAAAGTATTGACAACTTGACACCGTTTGAAAAATGGGTCGGAAGAAAACCGTCTTTAAATCATTTTAATGTATTCGGAATAAAAGCGTACATGCTTCTTAAAAATAAACAAAACAGAAACAAATTTGAAACAAAAGCCATTCCTGGCATGTTTGCAGGATATTCTGAACGATCAAAAGCTTTTAAAATTTGGGTACCTACAAAAGGTAAAATTATGATTTCAAAAGATGTGAAATTTGTTGATAAATTTTTCTATAAAGAAAACTTTAATTCAAATAAATCAGCAAATAAATCAAGTACAACTGGTTATGTAGATCTGCTCTTTGATAATATTGAAAAACTAGAAGAGAGAGATAAAAACAAACTATAATCAATGAAGAGAACATTGACCCAAATGAAACTGAAAGCGAATATGAATCGATTAACAATGATTTTGAGACAGATGATGAAGGAAATATCGAGTTGGTAGAAGAAACGAGACCTTCGGAAAGCCAAGCTGAAACAAATGACGAAGAGACACATGAAGAAGTTCAAACAGAAGTTAAACGGTCACTTCGAAATCGTAATTATTTACGAGCGCCTACAAGATTTGACGACTTTGTGATGACTGCTTCAGAAGACGTAATGAACTCACAAAAAGAACCTGAAACGTACAATGAAGCAATGAAAAGTAAAGATAAAAAAAAATGGCTTGAAGCGATGCTGAGTGAAATGACTTCTCTAGAAGAGAACCAAACCTGGGATCTCGTGGAGCTACCTAAAGGTAGGAAAGCTCTTTCTAGTAAATGGATTTATAAAATAAAAACGAATCCTGATGGAAGTATTGATCGATATAAAGCTAGGTTAGTTGTAAAAGGTTTTTCACAAAAACCTGGTGTGGATTATGATAAGACATTCAGCCCAGTTGTCCGCTTGAGTACAATTAGAGCAATGCTAGGAGTAGCTGCAAAAGAAAATTTATCTCTTTGTCAATTCGACGTATCCACAGCATTCCTCAATGGATCAGTTGAAGAAAAAATATTTATAAAACAACCTGAAGGTTATAACGATGGTACAAACAGGGTCTGCCGTTTGAAAAGAAGCCTATATGGACTTAAACAGGCTCCACGTTGCTGGAATACTTGTATACATGAGTTTTTAATAAATTCTAAATTCATACAAAGCCAGTCTGATCCTTGTTTATACATCAGAAAGAATGGCCTGTCTAAAGTGATTATTGGGTTATATGTTGATGATGGATTGGTAGCGTCAACATCAGAGAAAGAAGGAAAGAAATTTCTTGAAGAGTTACAAAACCGCTTTAAGATTACGACAAAGCCTGCAAGTTACTTTCTAGGACTCGAACTAGAAAGATCTAATGATGGATATATAACATTAAGTCAGAAAGCCTATACAAAGAAATTACTAGAAAAATTTCGCATGTCTGACTGCAAACCGGCTTTAACACCAATAATAAAAGAAAACAGTCAAGATACGTCTCTAGATGAAAGCGAATTTCCTTATCGCCAGGCAGTTGGAGCACTGTCATATTTAATGGTAGGGACAAGACCAGATATCAGTTACGCAGTGAGTGTTGCCTCCAGAAATTTAGAAAAACCAACGAAACGGGATGTTATTGGAGTAAAAAGAATACTTCGCTACCTGAAAGGATCAGTAGATAAGGGGCTAATATTTAAGACTGATATCACAGGAAATTTAAATTGTTACAGTGATGCAGATTTCTCTGGTGATCAAGAAACTTGTCACTCTACCACAGGAATAATATGCCTTTACTCAGGCGCTATAAGTTGGAAAAGTCAAAAACAAGGAATAGTAGCCTTATCTTCGACAGAGGCTGAACTTATAGCTGCTAGTGAAGCAACACAGGAAATTATTTGGCTAAAAGAGTTACTATCTGAATTAACGGAGCTAGACAAGCAACCAGTTCTCTATGTGGACAATGAATCTGCAATAAAATTAGCTCACAACCCTGCATATGAATATCATAAAAGGACAAAGCATATCAAGCGCAAGCATTTTTATGTCAGGGAATGTGTAAAGGACGGGCATTTATTAGTGAAGCATGTCTCATCGGAACATCAATTAGCCGATATGTTCACGAAGCCACTCTACAGACCAAGATTAGAAGAACTGTCCTCACGCATTGGAATGAGTAGCAAGCAACTATAAAAAGTAGACGGGATGTTAGGAGTATGAGTTGTAGATATACGACCTAATTATCTGTGTCTATCGATGACAATGTTCGTTGCTAAGCATCTTGTTGATTGTAACATTTTATTCTGCTTATTATACGTATTTTAATATTTAATATCGCTTTCCGTTCGCCACTTTAATAATCTCTTTATTTATAATTCTTTGTAAGCTTCGTCTTGAAGAGTGCTAAATATTTGCCGCTAGTCTGTTCATAACTGGGAATTCTATCCGCCAACAGCATTTTTTGTTATCGTACCCTGACCCCAAAACTTTTCTCAGTATCCGTATACTTCTACGGCGGAATAAAAGAATTGATCAATCTTTTTGAGTCAATATTTTTTACACTAATAATATCACTACAAAATATAGAATGAATTTACGTAACTTATTATGAGTGAGCTGAACTTTTGTGTAGCTTCTGAGTTTTAAATGACTTATATCATCTATACTGTCAACTGTTTAATATATTAGAAGATTATGAAAAGTATGAACATTATTTTTCTATATTTTAAGCTCTTTTTTTTTGTCAGATATTTATATATTTCATGTTCGTAATGTTATTGTCTGTCAAAAATTTAAACTTTAAAATTAACAGTAATGTCAAGAAGATCTATAAAAGATTAAGATGCGGAATTTCTTTTTCAGTTTAGAGTGCTTAAATTATGATCTTGATTTTAAGACGGTATTTTTTTTTAAATTTCTTAATTATTTATACTTGATTATGTACAAGTACACAGTGATTAGTTCATTTGGGTAAATGTCTGTCTATTTTCAATCGGTTGCTGCCTATTAATAACACAATAGCTTTTTCTGTAATAATATAGATAGAATGACTTACCAAACTGATGATGAGAGGTGGAATGGAAGTAGGTGAATAATATATACTGGTGTATATCACATAAACTTTAGGGGAACTTTAACAAAAACCAGATAGATTTATTATTATACGAATACACATACGAAACAATAGTTTATATTGTCACATTTTTTTTTCTATTCATATGGAATAGCACAGAGTGCATCCGCTAAAAACAATGTTTGTGAATGTGCATTTTCGTAAATGGCGTGTTGGCTGACGGAATTTAAACAGATGGTGACACACACTCATAGACTTTATACTAATGCTATCCAACCTTAATGTTTTCCAGCCTTAATATTTATCCCGTTTTTACTTCTTTTATTATATGTTGGCAATCTGTTTCTTATTCAAATCAAATCATTACTTGTTCTGTGATCAAAACAAACTTTATTCATATACAATTTTGTTTAGATATTTAGCTATTACGTATGTTTTGTTCTTGTTCAAAACGGATATTACTTAATAATATTTAAGAGTTAGATATCGCATTATACGTTGTACGAGTACCGTCCGAAACCATACACAACATATATAGTCAGCAGTCCATTGCTCGATAATGTTTTTCCAAGACCGTTATGTTTAGTATAGCTATTTGATGCGGTTACTTAATAAAAAAAAATATCTTTAATGTTCTATCAAAATTATAAGTATTGGGCCTCAATACTATAGATACCAACCTATTTAACAGACTCGGTAGTCAAATCATACTTTTTAAATTATTGAAATAAAGATCAAAATAAAATAATGTCAACTTGCATTATTTCTTCACAAATATAATTTTATTTTCCCTAAGCTTTATTGTAATCATTTTTAGCAGGTATGTACAGTAAAAGAAAAAAGATTAAACAACAAGATGTGGTTTATGATAATACATCAAGAGATGCCATTCCCAAGAGGGGATACTATTCCGAATTAGTATCTGACATGACTAAAGAAGATCCAACTAGGGAAATTTGCGCAAAAAAACGTATGAAATTACTTTTAGAGGTACAAACATCTTGTAATCTTTTAAATAATTATTAGCTGAGATTAACTCTTCTATATAAAAAAAAAAATAAACTGAATTAATCTAAGTTCGTGGCGCAAACAATAATACAACATGATCGTTAAAGTGTATACCCGTTGATTGTGTAGACTTGAGAGTCTGGATGCCTCAATCGTTGTCTATAAACTAGGTACAGGTGTAGGTACCTATCATTGCAAAATTGACAGTTCGTAGTTCAATGGCGGTATTTTTAATTTTTTTGACAACAGGTATTCTTAGGTTGTGTTTGTAAATAAACAAAATGTTAGTAAACTTAAACTATTCGACTGTAACAATCTAACAGTACAAACAGTTTTAAATTAACAAGTGGTATATAGGCAGATTCTTTATATACAGTCACTATTCTTCGTTTGTATAGGCAAAAACTGACAGACTAGCGCCTACTGTTGTTTCCCTGCCAAAACCGCAAAGACCTAAGATTCTCTTGCCGCCCGGTCGTTGGACTACGTATCGAGAAGATGAAAGTATTGTAAGATTTTCTTTATCTTTAATTTTAGTATTATATAGAAATAAAAGTAGTACTTATGTAGAAATTTTATTATTGTTTAAAGAGTCCTTTTCAGTAGCCCTTGTCTGACACACTGTTCATTCTGTATTGTACTAACCAAACATGAAGAATAAAACTTTTATATATTTATATATATACATGGCCTATGTTCAGTGGTGGAAAGTTAACAGCTGGTAACAATTTTTTTATATAAACCTTATCCTGACAATTATAAATGCAACAAAAAAGAATTAGCTAAATAGATGCAGCCATTTTGAAGTGGTGTGTTTATATATATTGGACAATTGATTTATTTATATAGTTAAGATTTTTTCCATGAGTAACAAAGTAATTTAAATACAAAAGATATATTTTAAAACGAGTAGGCATGCCAACTAACACTATACAACATTACTATTAAAGTATGTTTCAATATTGCAGTATAGAAACTCTGATGAGAGAGAGTGACACCCTCACAGCAATAATAGTGGTATGAAAGTGTTGATTCTTGTCTGTCACTGGTATCTTAAAAAATCATTAAATTAATTATGAAGTTCTAAATCACCAGTATAATGATATAAAAATTTTTGAAACATCTTTACTTTATATATTTTTTATTTTACAGAAATTTCCATTTGAGACATTTGTACCTAAACTGCAGTTTCTGAGTATAGTGCTGCCAAAGGAGTTGCCTCGTTTGGTTAAAATTGAGAGGCTACGGAGAAAATTTCTCGCTGCTAATATAAAGGTAGTTGGGATGAATATTTTTAATGGACAAAAATGGAATAAAAAATAATTTAAGTTTATCATACACTAGAAATCTGGCTTCAATTGTGCTAAAACAAGTTATATTGATTTCAAAACTGACCTTTTAAACTAATTTTGATAAAATTTCTATGGTACCAATCTGTAAATATGCCCTTTTATGTAGATAAAAAAAGAAATTTCTAAATTAGTATACATTAGATGGAAGTATGAGGTAACAAACATAAAAAAAAATACAACCTGATTGTGAACCTGTTTCTTTTTGAAGTTACTTAAAAAAGGATGAGATTAATTCACTGGCTTGTATTGACTTATGTATTTAAATAAATTATTTTGTATTAAACAAAAATGGAATACTCGACCAGCCTGTGATTATTATATTGTGGTGAAGTTCTGATGAGGGATGATAGTTATGAACAAATCAGCTCAGGTCAGTTAGCTCATCGTGCCAAACTGACAATGTCACCAACTATCAATCATATATCATTGTTGGCAATGGGACTCCAAATAATGTCTAGAACACCCATGAACAATATTCATATTATGGGACTCATATCTTCTATTATATCAATTGAGTTTTTGCAGTTGATAGTCTAATTCATATCTGTACTTCAAAAAGTAAAACCATTGCTATCCAAGTATTTAGACATAATTTTTTTAAGAGTCCTCATTATTTTATAAATTTGCGGTTTAATTTTTTTATGCAACTTGGAACGGCAAACGAGCTGATAGCCCACCTGATGGATAGTGGTAACCGTCGCCTATAGACATGAGCGGTACTTTGAACATAACTGAATATACTGTTTCGCCCATGATACTTCCATGTGTTGCCATTCCTGAGGACTCTCTGTACCTTGTAAATTCACTGCCATATTCAAATCAAAACCACCATGCAAACAAACTGTTTCATGGTAGAAACACGAATGGTGGAAAGCTACTCAATCAAACGATTTTTTGTAGAGTTTCCCTCTGGAAAATTACTCTGGGTATCCTAGCCTCAGGATTGGGCAATTGGTTTAATTTGTTATTTGTTTCTAGAAAATGCTCCGTGAGTTGGGCATACAACCTTTCTGGTTGCTGCCCCCGACTGAGTTTCAATTTACAGATCAAGAGTATTATGGCCTATATAGTCCATTTCCGAAGCTTGACTTGGAAATATTCGATAACACTGACTTCGACTGTCGGTTTGTCTATTTTTATACTAGTTGCATCCTGCGTCTTTGCTTGCCTGAATTAAAATTACAGAGTATCTATTGTTCAACTTTGTACCCCGATCTGCAGCACAATAAACTATCTGAACATTATAAAGTATTGTTCCACAAAAAAAAAAAAACTATGACAATTACAGTAAAACCAGTTATTTTAATTTAAAAAACTTTTTTATTAGATACTTAAGCATATTAAGTATGTCGTGTGTGCCCCGGCATAGAATAGGCTACCGCTTCCTTTCCCGTAGGTGTAGTAAAAGGCGACTAAGGGAGAACGAGGGATGGGCAGTGGATTTCCTCTTAAAACAACTCTAAAAGCCTAATGTCGGTTACCAACGATCCTACCAAGCGTGGCAACTATTACTAGTAACTAATAATAGTAATAACTTTAGTACATCACAGAAAAAATCTACTTGCATAAATTCGTGAAAACATTAGAAAGTTCGAAACCAACACTAATAATTTATTTCATTGTCCATTTTAGTGTACCAGAGGAGTGGTTGTCATTGGGTATGATCAAGGGGGAGCAGTACCCTTGTCCAGGCCTCGCTTTTATTCCTAAAGAGGATGGAAAGGCCAGCAAATCTTCTGGAGACGTCTTGCAGATGCTGAACAATTTGTATGAGGTGCAGAGATAATAAAGTATTATATAAAGGATATTTAGAAACATTCTCCCAAATGTTACTTTGTGGTGAAGGTAAAAAAAATTAACAAGAATCTGTTAACGTTGGGCAGTCGCCGTAAGGGGCTTTTAAAGATCGAAATCAAAATGGGTGGAAAATGATAGAAAGATGGATAGGGTATGCTTTGCCACATATTCAAAAAGAAATTACTAATTCTCTGGATTAGGATCATTAATTTTGTCCTGTTATGGAATCCTAACTTCTAAATGGTCTTATATTATTTTAGTGGATAAATGTGGCTGCGTTCAGCTACGACAAGGAAACAGAGAAATGGGAGGTGATGGCACTAGATGGCACCAAACGTCGATACAAGTAATCCATTTTCTGTATTTTACAAATTAGCATCAGGTCTGTAAATAATTTCTGTGTTTTTGGAATTTGGGAATTCAGTCTCTCTTTTCATTTAAGAATTTTCTCTTGTCGGTGCAACTAATTTATGCATTTTCCTTTAGCCAGCTTTATCCCATGCCATATCTTTGATCTCTCTATATGACATGTTACTTTGTGTTTCCTTTACCTGTCCCATGTAGTTTGAAATTGAGCAGTTTACAAAAGTATTTAGTTAGGCTTATAATCCCAAATTGTGTATTTGCATTGTTGTGTATGATCAGTCGTTAATGTCTAAATGACTAGCTACTTCCTTGCTGTGATCTACAGAAGTCTTACATTAAGAGACCTCACACTCTTTATAACCTATACCTATAAGAATTGAACTCAGGGTTTATATTGGTTTCAGCATCCCTCGCATCCGCCTCATGTTCAAAGCGGACGATCCCGAGACGTTTGCGCAACGCGTCAAGTTCGCAGTCGATTTGCGGAGAGAAGTGGAGAATAACTTACGGTATGACATCATATGAAATTTAACATTTATAACAGTTATTTAGATGATACTTTTGAAAGTTGCACATCAATCAACTGTCTTCTGTATCTATAGTTGAGAAATATTTTAGAACTGCCAAAATTTTCTTCCTTAAAAATCTATCTTCTATCTTTTCTTGCTGTTCCCTTCGTTCCCTTCCTATCGCCTCTTATGACATCCATGCGAAAGGAAGAGGTGGCCTATTCTATGCTAGGACCACACGCCACTAAATGTATATGGTCCTAGAAAACTCGCTAGAAAGATTGTAATAATATTTCTTTATTTTTATATTTTATATCTAAGAATTGTTCACCGCTGGGATGCTGCAAAATAGCTATCTTCTATTTCTCTGAAATAAGTTCTTCAAAAGCATGTAAAGTAAAGCCAAAAGCCATTTTATGTTTTAAAGTCGCAAACAATTTTATACGACGCTTTTGCGTTATTTTTCTTGTATAATCCTACTCGGGTTTGTCTTCAAATTCTTGTTCTTGGCATTTTGGATTTATAGTCGTAACTCCCAACTTCAGAAGGGCATATGCTCGAGTCCCATTTTCATTGTATGCAAATTGCAGGTTCTACCTTTATCTGGATTGTCTGCTGTTGGACGGGCTGCCGATTATGCCACGTCATTTCATGCCCGTCGTGATTGCTATGGTGCGGATACACAGGCAGGCTCGCGAGCTTGACGAGAACCACTTGCAAAATCTGAAACACGAGGTTCTCAAATTTATGTTATCTTCTTGAATCGTTTTTACTTTGAATAGTCCTGTGAATATACACAATTATCATTTAATAAATGATGTTTAGGTTGAAGATGGAGCTCAGTGGCCTCATCATCTTCCTACTCTTATCCCAATTATTATTTGGGGTCGGCGTAATGTTTTTATTCATATAACAAAAAGATTTGGCTTAGCTTTACGACCGGCCATGAAGATGGAGCTCAGTGGCCTACGCAGAACCTATTCATATTTCATCATCATCAGATTAGTCTTTAACTGTCCACTGCTGAATATCTAAGAAGTCTTATGTATCTTGTGACAAGGCTTGCAATCCACCTTATCCTTAATCTGATCTAACATCATCTTGATGTCATATTATCAATTGATTCATATAATGTTGTTATAGGCTGAGTTGCTTTATAAGAAAATGGAAGGTAAAATGAAGATAATGAACACTATACAGAAGTATAGGGATCTTTATAATTTTATCGATGTGCCCACTAAGGATTACGTGCCTCCAGTGCCGGACTATGGTAAGTTTAGACTCTTTTTATACCATTCATTAAAACCACTTGATAATAAATGACATGCGTGTCACATGTCACTAGAAGGAGATTGTATAAAAGTCGTTTACTTGGGCAGCTCTATCGTTTTTCTACCGTGAAACAGTTGTGTTTGCATGGCTGTATTTCGGTTTGAAGGGTGGGATATGGCAGTGAATTTACACGGTTCAGACGAATAATACCTAAGTCCTCAGGAATAGCAACGCATGAGGGTATCATGGACGAAACAGTATACTCTGTTGTGTCCATAGTACTATTCATGCCTATAGGCGGCGATTACCATTTTCCATCAGGTGGACCGTCATCTTGTTTGCCATTCTAAGTTGCATAAAAGAACATGTATGTTGCTGATTGTAAAAAATCTTTACAGCAACGGATTCTAAGTATATGTTTATAATATCCAGGGCGGTACCCTTGCGTGATGGAAGACTTCCCCGGACGACTGAAACATAATCAGTGGTACTCGTTGTACGTGATTACGGAAGCTGTATCCTGTATACACTTGGTTGTCGAGGAGTGTCTAAAGGTAGTTTAACTGTTTCCAACCTCAAAATTAGGAATGTCATAAACACAATGATGATTTTGAAGGAACATTCTTATGAATCAATTAAATCGCTGAACTATTTAGTTTGTAAGGTTTTTCGTCACTCATTATCCACTGTTAATTATAGGCCTTGTGGTCCCGTTATAGAATAGGGGTGGCCTATTCTCACATACTATATAGGACCACAAGACGGAATAGAGTAGGGGTGGCCTATTTTCACATACTATATAGGACCACAAGACATATAATCAACAGTGGATAATTAATGACGAAAAACCTTACAAACTAAATAGTTCTTCCTTTCCCGTGGACGCCGTAAGAGGCGACTAAGGGAGGTGACTAAGATGGGCAGCAGCTTAACTCTTAAAACATCTCTTAAGCCTGACTGGGGTGCTAATCCGCCTGCCACTACGGGGAATGGATTGGCAACCGCAGTCAGGCTTTAGAGTAACTAAACGTGGCAACTACCGGCAAATCTCCCTAAGGGGGAAGCTTATGTTTAGCAGTGGACAGTTAAAGGCTGATATGATGATGGTGATACGACGATTACAGGCCTTCCCTCTAAATTGTTATAAGGAACAGTCCTAAGTCACTCGCATTCATTTGACTTTGCAACACATTGGATGGATGCCATCGCTCCATCTAGTTATTCTACGCTGTTTGCTTTTCCTGATTTGCTAATCGAAAACCTCTCTTCTTCATTGGGTATTAATTTTTTGAGTTATATAGCTAGATCATTGATGTTTGCTTTGCCTATATCAATCACCTTGTTCTTCTGTGATGTACACATTTACTTTGCAAGGTATTTTATTAGCTGTATTAAAACTCTTGTGGAGTTTTTGTGCAGCGAATTATGGATATGTTAGTATATGGTGAGAGAGAAGGTTTAATTATGAGATAAATTGGTATGCAGGCTACATATCAATGTTATCCGTAACCAGGTGGAGTCAATGTTGTTCTTCACTACCAATTATGGTAGAAACGTGAGCCTTGCTGAGTTCGACGCAGCGCAGCAGCACTGTACTTCAATGGTAAGTGTGCATGGTAAAACACCCTTTTCCCGCCATCCCTCTGTAAGGATAGCAACTGCCCATTGTAAATCTAGTAGCTTTTTATGTAGTGTAGACTAGTGGACCGCCATAGCCCGAGGTGGTATTAGTGGTATTTTATTTTACGGTGGAAATCAGCACCTGGTATTAATTAAAGAACTCGGTGGGTTATTTTATTTTGAAAATATTTGAATTTTCGTCAATCAACTGGAAAGGCTCTCTGGCTCGATGGCTGCGTCCACTGCGACTATACCAAATATAATCATAACTCTAAATAGGATATTTTGATTATTTCTTTTAATTTATTAGACTTTCTCGCTATTTATAGATTTTATCTGTAGGCAAAACTTTTCATTTATATTCGTCTCGTTTGGTTAGGCTTTTAAGTCCAAAGAGCAATCCATAGTTGTAATCCTCTCACAGCATAACAAATGCAAAGAAAAATATCCGTGATTAAAATGCCAATCAATATTGCAGCTCTTTAATTTTTGCTTATGTTTCTGTACAGATGTTGAAATATTTGAATATAACTTGGCTGAATAACACAGCACACGCAATCAGGATGTCGTTCAGAGATGTCGGAAAGGGGTATATCTAATTGTGTTGATGATTTTGTAGTTGTTTCATTGTTATCATTATTACATGCATTACGTCTCCACTCCAAAATTTTGCCTCAACATAAATTGTAAACTGGAATGTTCCTACCATTCCAGTTGACAATTTTGACATGCTTGAATCCATCCTGTAGTTTATTTTTATAAAAAGTAGTTTAAGTATTTAGTTTTTTTTAATGCAACATAGAATGGCAAACAAGCTGACAGCCCACCTATTGGAAAGTGGTAACCGTCGCCTATAGACATGAGCAGTACCATGGACATAACAGAGTATACTGTTTTACCCATGATACTCCCCATACGTTGCCATTCCTGAGGACTTAGGTGTTATTCCTCTGTACTCTGTAAATTCACTGCCGTATTCCACCCTTCAAACCGAAACAGCTATATAAACAACTGCTTCACGGTAGAAACATGAATAGGACAGATGTGCCCAAGCAAACGACTTTTGTACAAAGTCTCCCTCTGGTCTTGGTGTCTTTCTTATAGATTAATCAGAAAAATGAATTTACTAACATATCCATTTGAACTGGTTTTATTTTTACTAAATTCGTTTAGATTTTATAATTAAGGCATCATAATTTGACTATATCAGATATTATCTCATATGACCGAGAGTTAATTTAGGTTAGTTTAGCACAGGAACTGGCTTTCTTTGCATCTTTCTTTGTCTCATTTAGATATAGTAAATGGACGCCACGTATCATTCGGGAGTATAAATAATTCGTGGCTTATCTAATAATCCAATCCTAAATCTGTACATGTTACTAGTCTGTCCTTTTGCCTTTTTGGAAATATTATTTATTATAACATTTTTATTATGCATGTTACCAGATGGTACAATATATATGAGAAGAAATGGGAGTTTTATAGCATCAGCAAGCTATGTCGTTTCATGCAACTTGTCAGATTTCGCATGCAGGTTAGTGAAATATTAAATTTAATGGATAAGTCAATATAATGATTGCATTGTGAGTTATTTTGTGGAAGTCCATATCACTAGTTAGTGGATTAGAATTATTTTGTTTAATTCTTTTACCACTAGTATGCGTGCGACTGTCAACATTTGAAGATTAACTATTATTACCTGAAGTTTATATTATTATTATCAGAAGTTCTATAATCTTTTGAAAGTCAATATTCGTCTTTGGTAGCGGAACAAAATAATTCTAATCAACTAACTAATGGAATGTAACGCTATTATTAGATGTCCTCTCGACTTACATACATACATACATATCTGTCACGCCTGTCTCCCATTAGGGTAGGCAGAAACAATGGAACGCCAAATGCTTCGATTCAAACGAACCTCTTTCGCTTCTTCCACATTCATCAATCTTGTCATACACGCTCGTCGGTTACGGGTACTTTTAATTTGGCCCTTCTTCAGCACGTCGCCTATTTGGTCGACATACGTCCGTCTAGGGCGGCCCCTACCGACATCTCCATTCATTCTTGTTCGATAAATCTCTTTCGTAATTCTTCTTTCATCCATCCTCTCCAAATGACCAAACCAACGCAACATTCCTTTTTCGATTTTAGTCACTACATCGTCTTTCAGTCCACACTTCTCTCTAATCACACTGTTTCTTACTCTATCTTTTAAAGTAATACCACACATACTTCTCAAAGCTCTCATTTGTACAGCATTTATCTTACTTTCATGCTTCTTCTGCCATACCCACGATTCGCTTCCATACATGAGTGTTGGTGTCAGTACTCCTTGAATTATAGCAAGGCGAGCTTTGCTCGATACATTTTTACTTGACATAATCGAGAGCAGTGCACCGTTAACACTGTTTCCCGCTTTTACTCTCCTCTCAATATCTCTGTCACACTTTCCATCCCTCGTAAACAAAGAACCTAAATATAGAAACTCACTTACTTGCTCCACTTTTTCATCTCCTATCATAATCTGGCATGCCGTTAAACTTTCATTCCTCTCAAAAACCATTACCTTCGTCTTCTTCGCATTTATTTTCATACCTTTTCTTGCATACGCTTCATTCATTATAGTCACCATTTGTTGTAATTCATACTCCGACGATGCAAAAAGTACTTGGTCGTCGGCGTATAAAAGAGTCTTAAACAGAGACTCATTCATCCTGAATCCACAATTAGATCATTTCAATCGGTCCTCTCGACTTCTTTATGATTATTTCGTGTCATATATATATTTATAATTATTTATCAGTAATGTCAAAATAGTATGTAAAATGTGACTAAGGGCATTTAATTGTCGAAGGATGGATAGCAGCGTACCTTTTAAAACATCACCAAATCCTAACTAAGGTTGCCAAGCGTGGTAACTATTGGCAATGCTGAAATGGTATGTTGTGTCATGTCATACCATGGTAGTAGCATAGGGGGAAGGGCATTGAGAGGCAATTCCCTATCTTAAAAGGCCTAATAACCTACCTTAAAATGTAAGGCCCCAAGATAATTAAACAGATTCGCTTTTTTGATGTCTCTTAATTATGGCTTCAGTCCTACCAAAAAGTTCTTTTGCTCTGCCTTAAACTTGGGTCTAGCTACGGCCTTGTACCATACCTTACACATTATTTTACCCTGCCTATTCTATTGTAAGTTTCCGGTGTTATTTTTAGTACGCGCTTCGATATTGCATCGAGCAGTCGATGGCGATGTTCGTGGCTCTATGCGAGACGCCATGCCTATGTACCTACTCGTGCGAGGAAGACTTCGAATGGGATTCTAACGATCTCATCAACTCGCCTTTCCGTTCGCCCACACCCACTCTCTTCTACTTCCACCTCATGATGTCTCCCGAAGGACCTTATTACACCACGAATCCTCAACATTTCGAGGTCGGTACCTTTTTTTTCTGGTATACTAGTAGCTTTTTTAATGGTAGGCATAGTGGCATTACTCGCGCATTTCTGACTCTATTGTCATGAATATTTTGAGCCACAGTATTCGGTTTCACTTATACCTCATTATTGAAATTGGAATATACTTATGTTATAGGATAAGAAGGGTGACCTATTCTATGCCTATGCTAGAATAGGTCACCCCTTCCTATACCGTGGGTGTCGTAAGAGCTGACTAAGGAAGGGCAAGGAATGGGCAACAGCGTCCCACTTAAAACATTTCTAAAACCTGATTGCGGTTACCAATCCACTTGTCAAGCGTGACAACTATTGGTAAAACCCCCCAAGAGGGAGGCTTATGTTCAGCAGTGGACAGTTAAAGGCTGATATGATGATAATGATAACATTTATGTTGGTAAATCTGCTTGATTGTAAAAATGGTAAACACAGGTGATAATGCCAGACGACTTTGAACAAAATCTCCTTCTGGTTAAATTTCATTTTACAGTGTCTGGTTTTTTTAGAGTTGTTCTCTGCAGGGAATTACGGATATTGCTATCAACAGTAACAGTGATTACTGTAGTAAAATTAGCTATCAACAACGTTCAGGTGGTGATCCAGCGACTGTTCCGGGAAATGCTGTACCGGTGCCACTTCATACCTCAGGTGCATCCGATGATCATGACAGGACTTGTCTTTGACAAAGAGCTGTTCCTTACATCTATAGGTAATAATATTGGCTTCATATTTAGAAGTTATAATTATTTAACCCTTGGGATCTTTTGTACTTACTTGTTTGGATCTAGTGTAAGTAAAAAGTAGGAAGTACTGTATACAATAATTATAGATTTTGATTTTATGGTATTCCGTGTTTTGTAATACGTGGAGTCTACTGGCTTCAGATAAACAACCCCTTTTTTTTGTTTATCGTGTGGAAAATCTTCAGCAAGATTGTCCCATCTGCCGGAGGGAGGGCAGCTGGGGTGTGTGGGATTCGTACCCACTAAAAACCACACGACGTACCTCGAGGCGCGTATGCTGGATCCCGGGTACCCGTTTGTACGACTACCGAGTATACAACGCGACGGTTTGCCCTGTAGGTGGTGTAGGGCAGGCTTCCTCTCTTAGTTAGGGTGGGGAATGTCTCTTCCACTCTATCACCACAGGAGGGCACAGATACGTGCGCATACCTCCTAGGGTCATATGTAGGGTGTGCCTCCCTCAAGGCAACACCCCGACCCTAGAGATAAACAACCCTTAGGGACACATTCGTATTCTTGATGAGTTGCAAATATACATCAAGTGTTCTATTATCTCTGATTCTTCGCCATATCCAATATACAATACTTGAAGACAAATTTATTTTCTAATTTCCATACTGCACTGATGCATTACATGTCATAATTGCCATAAAGAGTCTTGCTTGTCGTCGGTCCTGTGAATTGTTTTGTCTTTATTTATTACAATAAAACTGTACATAGAAAAAAAAAACCGAGTCAGGGGGATGTTAGAAGTGAAACAGAACACATCCAGATTTTTTCAAGTTTTCGGTTTCTTTGTCTGTCTGTTTGTACGGGCTAATCTTCTAAACTGTTGAATCGATTTAAATGACATTTTGCATGGTGGTACATTTACATTCCCGGTCAACATTTTAGATACTTTTTTTTTTATACAACTTAGAATGGCAAACAAGCTGATGGCCCACCTGATGGAAAGTGGTAACCGTCGCCTATAGACATGAGCAGTACTATGGACATAACAGAGTATACTGTTTCGCCCATGATACTCCCCATGCGTTGCTATTCCTGAGGACTCAGATGTTTTTCCTCTGTACCCAGTAAATTCACGCTATATCCAACCCTTCAAACCGAAACACAGCCATTCAAACACAACTGCTTCACGGTTGAAACACGAATGGGACAGAGGTACCCAAGCAATCGACTTTTGTACAATAAAGGAAAATTAAAGAGTTCCCGTGCGATAGTTAAAAAACTATAGTAACTTATACAGCTTAGTACACTACCTTCCTAAGTAAATTTGATCTAAGACAAAGAGTGAGAACGACACGGCACTTGTTAATTTTGGTCCAGTATTCCCAGACATAGTTCACTACAGGAAGGAGGTTAAAAATGTTAATCGAAAGAATAACAAATACCACGCGGACAAAGTCGCGGGCATCAGCTAGTTGCAAATATTATCCTTGTATATTGGCAAACTGTTAACTGGTGTATCCAGGTCTAATGGAGCCTAACGTGGTGGAGTACCGGGAAAGACTGCTGATTGCGTACCGCAAGGCTATCATCCCACTGCTAGCGTACTTGCGTCAGTACGAGTGTTATAAAGAGATATTTGTGCTTGATACCGAAGAGTATGTCGAGTAAGTGTATTAATTCTTTAGGAAACGAGATGGAGACACGATTTAAATATGGTTGCGATATAAAAATAAATTGCTATTGTTCTTGGCACCATCATACCTTTTTTTAATGGGTTATAATGGAATGGTAACCCCGCCTGCGCTATCGGTATACGCTGGCGGGGCCACAGTGATAGATGATAGGTGAGGATGAAAGCAGGTCAATTAGCCCATCATGACGAATTCCACTAGAATTAACCACGATGGTTTCCAAGGGAAATCGCGTGGAGGTCGACCTGATTGGGTGTATTACTAGCAGTGGGTCAGTTAGATCCTATTACTAACAATCTCTTTCCCCCGCCTTCATGCGTTTTTTTTGATGGGTGAAAATGGTATGGTAACCCCGCCTGCGCTAACGGGATACTTTGGCGGAGCACCAGTGAAGAGTGATAGATGAGAATAAAAACAAACCAGTTAGCCCATCATAATGAATTCATCAGGAATTAACCATGATAGTTTCCAGGGAGAACCGCGAGGAGGTCGACCTGGTTGGGTATATTGTTAGCAATGGGATTCTCAGTCTCCATTATTAGCAGTCCCTTTCCCTCCGTGCGCTACCGTTAGCTTAGCAGGGCACCGCCGCTAGCCAGTAATCGACCGGCACTCAGTATGTCTATACGCGTCGCACAGACTCGCGCGCTTACGCCGCGAATTCAAAATGTAACTCCGTTTCGTTATTAAACGTATGTTGTGAAATTTATGGTGTTTCCATTTGATGCCCACACACTATACTGTTAAAAATAAATAAGTCGGTCATATTGTACTAAATAGGAACTTCCGTCAAGAGAAACATTCTGCGTCGGAGATCCGCGAGCAAGTGCAGATGCATTATGATGCAAAACAAGATCTTATATGGAGATTGCCACAATACATCAATATAGGACCGTTTGCGCTTAACATCGATACTCTAAAGGTAAGTTAAAGTTTTAATAATAAATAAATAATTAGTATCCCTATTACAGGGGACCTTAATACTCAATTTCCAATTGTTCCTTGACTTTCTTTGGTAGTTCTATTGATTCCTACTTATTCAAGGTTTTTTTTTTGATGGGTGAAAATGGTATGGTAACCCCGCCTGCGCTAACGGGATACGCTGGCGGAGCACCAGTGAAGGGTGATAGATGAGAATGAAAACAGGCCAGTCAGCCCATCATGACGAATTCATCAGGAATTAACCATGATAGTTTCCAGGGAGAACCGCGAGGAGGTCGACCTGGTTGCGTATATTGCTAGCAATGGGATTCTCAGTCTTCATTACTAACAATCCCTTTCCCCTTACTTATTCAAGGTTTTGAGCATGTATTTTTTCCTTATCAACCTTTACAAGTGTCTATCCAAAATTCTAAATCCTTATCCATACATCTCCACCATGTCTTGGAGTGATGCTTTGATTTCATCTCATTTGTACAACTTTTCAATAAGAAAAACTTCTACGTATTAACGATTCTTTGTTTACAATCAACTCAACAAACTTTAATATGAGTTTAAACTGACTTTAAACTTCCTATGCCACTGCGTTAGGTTGACTGGAAGAAATCTCTTTTAGAGATAAGTTCGCCTTTGCTAACATTGTTATTAACTTATTGTTGTTACTGTATGTTTTTTGTGCAATAAAGAATATATAATATACACGAGAGTATTTTTTTTTAATGGATGATAATGGAATGGTAACCCCGCCCGCGCTATCGGTATTCACCGGCGGGGCACCAGTGAAGGATGATAGGTGAGGATGAAGTAGGTCAGTTAGCCCATCGTGACGATATCAACAAGAAAAGAAGGAACCACGTGGAGGTCGACCTGATAGGGCATATTGCTAGCAATGGGGCTGTTAAACTCCATTGCTAACAATACCTTTCCCCCCAGAACAAGTTTAGACAATTGCCAATTTCATAGTAGCAACCATAGATGACATTAATATTGCCAACATGCAAAACTAAACAACAGAGGAAGAACACCTGAGTCCTCAGGAATGGCAACGCAGGGGGGGTATCATGGGCGAAACAGTATGTGTGTGTACTGTTATGTCCATGGTACTGCTCATGTCTATAGGCGACGGTTACCACTTTTCATCAGGTGGGCCGTCAGCTTGTTTGCCATTCTAAGTGATATAAAAAAAACTACAGTAAAATGGGTAAAACCTCAGGGTGTAGTTAGTTCCAAATACTCAATCGATTGATTGACCAAAAGCGTGTCTTTACAGCAAATGTTAGTGACGAAGCGGTCAGACATAATAAAGGCCTTACTAACGATGTGGGCCGAGGAGGTGAGGCTGGTCGTGGAAGATGTGGTAATGGCGTACAAGGGCATCATGCGACGCCTCGGGGAGAAGCCTAATACGATAGAACACGTGTTCGAGATCAGGGAGTGGATGGAGTCCATACCCTTTGCGCTGAAGACCCAGGATGATATCATGAAGAAGGTTCACACGGTGGGTTTTATATCAAATGTATTTTTTTTGATGGGTGAAAATGGTATAGTAAACCCGCCTGCGTTAACTGGATACGCTGGCGGAGCACCAGTGAAGGGTGATCAATAAGAATGAAAACAGGCCAGTTAGCCCATCATGATGAATCCAACAGGAATGAACCATGATAGTTTCCAGGGAATACCGCGAGGAGGTCGACCTGGTTGGGTATATTGCTAGCAATGAGATTCTCAGTCTCCATTACTAACAATCCCTTTCCCCCCTATATCAAATGTATTCATTAAACGTGGAGTATAAAAGCCTGGGAAGTAGTCCAACTAGGTAGAATATTATAATTTATCAGAGAGAGACTGTGTACAAAAGTCGTTTGCCCAAACCTCTGTTTCATTCGTGTTTTAACCGTGAAGCGGTTGTGTTTGCATGGCTGTATTTCGGTTTGAAGGGCAGTTTGATATGGCAGTGAATTAACAGCGTACAAATAACACCTGAGTTCTCAGGAATGGCAATTTTTCTCCATCAAAAAATTAAAAATGGATCTACTAAAGGTCTATACAGTTGCTCATATCTATAGCAGTAGTTGTCACTTTTTATCAAGTGGATACCAGCTTGTATATTATTTGGGGGGTAATAAAAATAAAAGTATAAACGAAACTTGTTAATTTTTAGGATTACGAAGTGTTGGACGTCTTCTTTGTGCCGTTGGAGAACGATGACTTTAAACTCCTGTGGGAGGCGATCGGGTGGCCACTTAATATATCGAAACAGGTGAATATTCGGATTGTTGGAACAAACAAATCTATACTTATAATAAATCTGTAGAGAGGTCAATTCTGTACATGAAATATATTTCCAAAATAACTATCAGCGGGTGATTAATGATCGATACTGATGCCAAAAATGCAATCAGTAAAATTTTTGTCTGTCTGTCTGTATGTTCGTTATAAAAACAAAAACTACTCAACGGATTTTAACGAAACTTGTTACATTTATTTTTCATGCTCCTGGGCAGGTTATAGTATACTTTTCATCACGCTACGATCAATAGGAGCAGAGCAGTGATGAGAAATGTTGGGAAAACGGGAGAAGTTACTAAATTTTTAAGCTTCCGTCGCGTGTGCAGCCATAATGGTCAATAACTACAAAAAACTTCGCGATACTATATGTCTAACTATTAGCGTTATGTCACAATAACCACTTTGTAAAAATGTCCACCCGTGCGAAGCCGGGACGGGCGGCTAGTCGAACATAAAAATTTTTTTTTTTTTTTTATGCAACTTAGAATGACAAACAAGCTGACGGCCCACCTGATGGAAAGTGGTAACCGTCGCCTATAGACATGAGCAGTACCATGGACATAGCAGACTATACTGTTTCACCCATGATACCCCCCATGCGTTGCCATTCCTGAGGACTCAGGTGTTATTCCTCTGTACCCTGTAAATTCACGCCATATCCCACCCTTCAAACCGAAACACACAGTCATGCAAACACAACTGCTTCACGGTTGAAACACGAATGGGACAGAGGTGCCCAAGCAATCGACTTAAAGATAAATATGAATCCTTAGATATGAAGTCCTCAATTATGGAAATGCATGAGAGATATTATGGTTATCATAGAGTACATTGTATATTCTATGGTGCCTATGGTACTATTATGTCTACAGGAGACAGGAGGAGAGATTAGTTTGGTTGGGTTATTAGTTTGTTACCCATACTACGTTCCATAGTACCTCTATGGATATGCATCTTAAAAGTCGACTAGGATGCAAAGCATCATGTACAAGTGTAAGTAACAAGAAACTTAAAACATAAGGTTTTAGCTAAGTCCTATCGTCATGGACTAATCGTTAGCTAATATTCTCTTTTACTGGGGAGATCCATATACAGCTATTAGATGTGAAAGACTTATGGTGACGATGATGACGTACTTTGAATCTTGCTTATAGGTAGAAGCCACTACAGAATTTCTTGAGGAAGAGCAAGAGAAGTTTTGGAAGCTTCATCAGCAGGATGAGCAGACTCTATTTGACAAAATTGACATGTTCACTTCACAATGCATGGCGCTTACACTGCAGAATGATTTCACTAAGGTAATATTCCAGAGCTTTGGTACCTCTGTTCCATTCGTGTTTCAATCGTAAAGCAGTTGTGTTAACATGGCTGTGTTTCGGTTTGAAGGGTGGGGGATATGGCGTGAATTTACAGGGTACAGAGGAATAACACCTGAGTCCCCAGGAATTGCAACGCATGGGGGGTATCATGGGCGAAATAGTATACTCTGTTATTTCCATGGTACTGCTTATGTCTATAGGCGACCGTTATTACTTTCCATCAGGTGGGCCGTCAGCTTGTTTGCCATTCTAAGTCGTATAAAAAAAAGATTTTGTACCCTAATGAAGCAGACATACGATTCGGCTGATGGTAAATGATTGTTGCAATCAATGAATACAATACCTAAGATGCAGTCGTCCTTTGCTAACGTTTTGGACATGAAAATCTCGACTCCCAGTACTCAGTAATTTTATTGTAATATCCCACTTTTGAAGTTGGACTACGACGTAAAATTTTAGGTACACGAAATAGCAAACGACATAAAGAAGGCATGGAAGGGCATGAAAGATGCTCAAGACTGGGGCAGGGTCCTCAATCAACGCCAGAAGTTGTTCGGGCAGCCGGTCGTGCCGTTCGCGGACCTCAACCGCCTCGTGAAGGAGTTTGAGCCCTACAGGAACCTTTGGGTCACCGCTTCTGGTTAGCCAATGATTTTTGTAGCCTGGCAATAGTTGTGCCATCACAATTGGAATATTTAGCCGTGTGGTTCCGGCATAGAATAGGCCACCCCTTCCTTTGCCGTGGATGTCGTTAGAGTCGACTGTCGACTAAGGGAGGGCGAAGGATAGACAGCAACATCCTTCTTAAAACATCTCTAAAGCCTAACTGCGGTTGCCAATCCGTCTGCCAAGCATGGCGACTACTGGCAAAACCCTCCAAGGAGGAGGTTTATGGTCAGCAGTGAACAGTTAAAAGCTGTTATGATGAATTGGAATACTACTAATTTATTAAATGCTCCACCATTCAAGTACAATGAAGCTATATAATCGCCACTGAATAACATTGTAGTTATGCTGCTAGTTGTATATATGCTAGTTATATATATATGTGTGTGTGTGTGTATGTATATAAATATAATAATGAGTAGGGATAATATTTATATTATTATATGCATCACATCTCCCATATTTAGAACTAACAAAATTTTTCATCGTGCCTCCCATCAAATTGTTCATAATTACTCCTCTCCATCCAAAGGTTGCCTGGAAGAGATCGCTCTTAGCGATAAGGTCGCCCATTGTTTTCTCATTGTGATTATTTCTTGTAATTGTTTATATTTATAATAAGTTTACTATTGTAATCTTTTGGAGGAAACAATAAAGAGTCTATCTAGTTGGGCCTGCATAGTTTTGAAAATTTTAGTATTATTGACAAAAAATATACATACATTCATGCATATCCGTCACGCCTGTCTCCCATTAGGGTAGGCAGAAACAATGGAACGCCAAATGTTTCGATTCAAACAAACCTCTTTCGCTTCTTCCACAATTATAAATTTTTTCATAATAATTATCTATGATTTTTTGTTAATTTCTATTTTCCCGCTGTCATTATTATTTTAAAGAGATGTGCTAATAGCTTATTTGGTTACATTATACGAAATTAGATTACCATTCCGTTTTAACCCATTAAAAATATCTTTCTTTCTGGATATTTATTTATTTATTTAACACTTTATTGCACCAACATAACAGGATTTGTTGAACAATTTTCAATACGTATAGTGTAGTACAAAAGGCGGTCTTATTGCTAAGCAATCTCTTCCAGACAACCTATTATGACGGATATATTGTGACGTTACTGTAATTTACAATTTCTTTGAGAGTTTATTATGATTTTCGTATATTTCCTTCATGTTTTTTAATAGAGACAACTTTGATTTGTCTGAAGCACCATCACTTCTCACTGCTATAAAATAGTCTTCAGATATTCACTTTAACGCTCTCTACTCCGCAAGGGCGTAATATTACTAGAACATTAACCAAAGCAATTCCCATGTATGTTGGGCACATAACATATATATGTGCTATATGTACATGCTTTTTCTTTGTTTAATTAACAGTTTAATTTATTCTACTGAAACGCTAGCGCCTCTGCCTTGAGGAGGTGGGCGTTGACAGCCACGACACAGTTATTTTTAACTAATGTGGCTTTAAATAATATCGTACACTACCCTACAATAGTAACTTTTTATGATTCCAATAAATACATTTTAATTTTTAATTTAATTATGATGAATTTAAGTATAATATGGCCTTTTAACACCCTTAGTATTTTTAAAGATTTCCTGAAAGCACGAGAGGTGTGGTTCGACAACCCTTTAATGTACGTGGACGCTGACACCATTGAGCCGCTCGTCAACGAATACTACAAGACCATAGTCAAGTGTGTGCGCACCTTCGCTGACCTACCAAAGGTGCAGATGGTCGCCACCACCATACGGGTATGTATGTTCTACTTTTTTACATTTCAATATGTTTTTTTACATTACAATTTATTTATTTGCTGTAAAATAGGGTATACAGATGCTAGTAATAAAATTTTATGAACTTCCTGTCTATACTTGGTGTAGTATTGGTATTCCTGTCTATACTTGGTATAGTATTGGTATTCCTGTCTATACTTGGTGTAGTATTGGTATTCCTGTCTATACTTGGTGTAGTATTGGTATTCCTGTCTATATTTGGTGTAGTATTGGTATTCTTGTCTATACTTGGTGTAGTATTGGTATTCCTGTCTATACTTGGTATAGTGTTGGTATTCCTGTCTATATTTGGTGTAGTATTGGTATTCATGTCTATACTTGGTGTAGTATTGGTATTCCTGTCTATACTTGGTGTAGTATTGGTATTCCTATCTATACTGGGTATAGTATTGGTATTCCTGTTTATACTTGGTATAGTATTGGTATTCCTGTCTATACTGGGTATAGTATTGGTATTCCTGTTTATACTTGGTATAGTATTGGTATTCCTGTCTATACTGGGTATAGTATTGGTATTCCTGTTTATACTGGGTATAGTATTGGTATTCCTGTCTATACTAATTGTATAAGTAATGATGAGGAACTAATATGCCATGAGGACTTAACGCGATGAAAAAACTTTTACAGGTAAACCTAAAGGTACCGGGGGGAAAGGGATTGCTACTAATGAGGTCTAATAGCCCCATTGCTAGCAATATATCCTTTCAGGGCGACCTCCACGCGGTTTCCCCTGGAAACCATCATGGTTGATTCTTGTCGAATTCATCATGGTGGGCCAACTGACCTGCATTAATTCTCACCTATCGTCTTCTACTGGTGCCCCGTCGGTGTATACCGATAGCGCGGGCGGGATTATCATTCCATTTTCATCCATTAAAAAAATCCTAAAGGTACCTACATATCTGCTTCTGTATTGCCGACATTTCCACGTGGATTGCACCACGTCGTGGTCACGACAGGACTATGACATGAGTTGCCATATAGTACTGGATTCGCCTAGAATCAATTACGATGGTTTCCTTTAGACTTGCATGGAGGTCAACTTAATATTATTAGATATGAGGACTACAGTCTCTATTACTAACAATCTTTCTTATTTCGTCCTGAATGGTCTATTATTTGTGACTGTTTCGCGAAAATCGTCAATCATTGTTTCATTATTGTCAACGGAACCCTAAAATATTCAATTAATTGGAGGTTAAATAATGTGTGTTCACATTTTAGGATGACATTGACGAGTTCAGACCATTGATACCCATAATCCAAGCAGTACGTAATCCTGGTATGAAGGAGAGGCATTGGAATGAATTCATGGAAAGAGCAGGTCAAATATTTTCTATTGCTGTATTTAATTTATCTTCATATAACGTAGGTGAAAGGTATGGTGGAGGAAGGAAGAGTAAATGTCTTTCAAGTGTGTTTTGGTATAGACGTTGTAGTCTCCATACTTCTTCTCATCCTTAGAATATTTTAAGAGATCATCAGAGGATGACAGATTACCGTTTTCTTTAGGTATAACGGTGACAATGAACGAGAAGCAGACATTCCAGATGTGTCTCAAGCAGGGCGTAGCCACCCACGGCGAGTTGATCGCTGAGATCGGCGAGTTGGCCAGCAAGGAGTACGTGATCGAGCAGTCCCTGGACAAAATGCTCGCAGACTGGTCCAACAAGACCATGGACATTACGCCTTACAAGGCCACCGGTGAGAACCGCTTGTTTTCCTAGGAAAGGTGAGTGAAAGAAGATTGGCTAGGAAGAGTTATGTGATTGTACAGTTGCTGGATCCAATACCGGACAATAAGGCCTTGGACATCGTAGCTGTGCTTTTAGAACAGGTTGATAAATATCAAGTGTGAGTAAAGGTGGAAGCCAATGGTGCTTCTCTTTATTAAGGTAAGTGTCACTCGAGGCTGATGAAACATGGCCTGATTAATTAATCATTGGACAGAATGATGTCAATAGAGATGTACTGATAACGATCCTCGAGATTTTAGAAAAGGCGAAGCACCAAGTGTGGTTAAAGGTTGAAACCATTGATGACCAATGAGCTCCCTGCCGAGGTTTTCCCAAGAGACTACAGCATGGGGTTCTTCAAAAGGGGGGTAAAGAGGTTTCTTCAGGGTTGGCAACGCGCGCGTAATTCCTCTGGTATTGCAGGCGTTCATAGGCTACGGTAACCGCTTACCATCAGGTGGGCCGTATGCTTGTTTGCCACCTCAGTGGTATAAAAAAAACCATTGGTATTTTGATCTTTCACATTTGTGAATGAAAAGCAAAGCTACTGTATTGTTTACCACTACAAAAAGAACCAAACGAGGACTTTGTACATGGTCATTTACGTCTCTCTGCAATTTATTAACCCTTGATTAAAATTTTTCGGTATTGTAACTCAAGAACATAATGTTATAAGGATTGGTAACGTGTGAGTCTTTTAATCGTTTATAGCCAGTAGTAGTTGCTTATTAACTAACAGATCGTATTCCTGATACCCTCGTATAAATACATTTTGTCCCTCATGTAGGCACGTTCATAATGAAGATAGCTGATGAAACCCTACAACTGCTGGACGAGCACCTCATGACGACTCAGCAACTCGGCTTCAGTCCGTTCAAGGCGGCATTCGAGCTTCGCATACAGGAGTGGGATGACAAGCTGCGGCTCACCCAGCGCGTCGTCGACGAGTGGATTGAGTGCCAAAAGTATGAATACCTTTTCTTTAATTTTCTTTTATTCTTGTTTAATAAATAATGGATTTTGCGTTTGGACATAACACTTTTTTCTTCTACTGTACTTGCTATTGAATCATCATTTCTAATAGAGTTTTTTGTGTCACGTACAATTTACAAAGATTATATATACATGGAATTTCAACGTTACTTTGTCAGTTGGTGGATTTGCAAATTTACATCATCAATACAATATAATACATCATCGACTTTAGTGGCATCTCACTTGTCTACCGTTTGACTACGGGCCAGGAATTCAACTCGGAAGATCTTATACCTGCCTAAATGTTTAATTTTCAACATTATGTTCGGATTATTTAAAATATAATCCCAATATGTTATTCGGTATGGAGGACATGTAAAGCAAACCTCCGGTAAGCCATGTACAGTGAAGGAAGTACCTTCGTGTACAGTGAAGGAAGCCTATAAATTCTAGAAATGATACCAAAGACCGATACTCTCACTCTAGTAGTAGCAGTACTTATATTCCGTTATTATAGAGACTGGATGTACCTGGAGCCCATTTTCACGTCCGAGGACATTTCGCGACAACTCCCGCTGGAAGCTAAGAAGTACGGTACCATGGAGAGGATATGGAGGAGGATCATGTCTTCAGCAGCTGCGTGTCCTAAAGTTCGCATCTATTTATTTATACATTTACCAAAGTAACATTCTATTAGCTTTAATTCTAAAAGAATAGTTCCCATTCATAAGCTATTAAATTGAACTAGATTGAAGAAAATAATAGCTTTTGATAGCTTAATATGAGGGGCTTCGAATATGACTATCTCAGCTAGATTATATCCATTTAGTTCTACGCTGACACTGAATATTTCGTTTGTTTTGAATATTTTTTTATTTTTTATACAACTTAGAATGGCAAACAAGCTGACGGCCCACCTGATGAAAAGTGGTAACCGTCGCCTATAGACATGAGCAGTACCGTGGACATAACAGAGTATACTGTTTTGCCCATGATACCCCCCATGCGTTGCCATTCCTGAGGACTCAGGTGTTATTCCTCTGTACCCTGTAAACTTACGCCGTCTAACCGTTCACCCGATGAAAAGTGGTAATTTTTAGTCCTTTAATATTTGGTATGGATGAATTGTGATTACCTTTTACACGCCTGTAAGTGTACGATGTTGTAAGTAAAAGCTAGTGTAAATTATATTGGATATTTTTGTTGGCAGATAATGATAATCTGCCCAGACAGCCGGCTAATGGACAGCCTAGTGGAGGCACGGCATCTGCTGGCGGTGGTGGCGCGCGGCCTTAACGAGTACATGGAACTTAAGCGGCTGCGGTTCCCGCGCTTTTTCTTCCTCAGCGACGACGAGCTGCTTGAGATACTCTCGCAGTCCAGGAATCCGAGAGCCGTGCAGCCCCACCTAAGGAAGTGCTTTGAGAACATCGCCAAGGTACGCTCCTATCAGGATTGTCAAAGACATAGAGCTGAAGCAGCTGTTTTTTATTCGTCTGCGACAATGAGGGTTTGGAGATAATCTCGCAGTCCAGGAACTCGAAAGCTGTGCAGCCCCACATGAAGAAATGCTTCGAGAATATTGCCAAGCTATGTTTCTTTTAGGACTCTTGAAGACAAGGAGCTGAACTGACAATGCTCTCCTCGGTTTTTAGAGAACATGAAGTGCTCGAGATACTCACGCATTCCAGTTATTGGTGGCTGAACCAGTGAAGAACTATCTCTTTAGTTATACTAATTTACCATCATTCAGACCATGCTTGTCTTCCACTTTCAGGGTATGAGATAAAGGGTTAAATCCTGCGTTAAAATTATATCTTTAGGTAATTTTAGTAATCAATTTTAATTTGTGTTCGTGTTTGAGAGAAGCAAAAATAAATAGGTACTTATATTTTTCATTTCCTCTTTCTCATTCTTATCGTCAGAGTTATAAATTAATAAATTTTGGTCAGGTGACGTTTGAGGCGGATCTGAAGATATCTCAGATGCACTCGAGCGAAGGCGAGATAGTGGACCTCAAATACAAGTTCTACCCGTCGTCCAATGTTGAACAGTGGCTGCTTCTACTCGAAGACACCATGAGACATACAAGTCGGATTACCTGTTTATTATATTTATTTGCTTTTAATATAATTGTAGATAAATATACAGTAAGGGTGGGCAACTTGATTAGACCCAAGATCTGTGAAATGAAATGAGTTTATTTACATTAAACAGTTTAAAATTATTACAAAAGCCACGTGGTATTATTTTGGTACCTGTTTAATTGCCTTAAGAGATGTAGGCATGCAAATATTTTACATTTTATAAAAAAGCGGTATCTACTGTTAATTAATAATGACTTCCTACAATCTACCAATTACACACTTCTTGAATTTTTTTTATATAAGGTGATATTTAAATCATTAACAGTCTTAAGGGAGTGCTTTGCCAGTGAAACTGAATAATTTTTCTAAAGGAAATTGTTCCCAAACTCGAGATTAAGTTTTGAGCTTGTTGTACGGATTTGTACCTCTACGTGTCATCATCATCATTTCAGCCACCATCTGTCCACTGATGAACATAGGCCTCCCACATAGACTGCATTAAGGACTGTCAGTCCTGAGCCACCTGCACTCACTGACCACCTACAATGCATTTCTACATCTTCGTGTACTATCGTGTATTCTTAGTAGTCTCCATAAGGCGGGTTGCATGGTAACGACTATATTGTATGCAGTCCGGTTGACGCTGGTGGCCGGGCTAGAGGAGTTATGGTCGTTGCCGCGCGAGCAGTGGGTGCTGCGGTGGCCCGGACAAGTCGTCATTGCGGGCTCGCAGACTGCCTGGACTGCGGGCGTCGAGCAGGCCATCGAAGACTACCGGATGGATTGTTTCTACGAGGAGATGCTCCAACAGGTTGCTACTTTTTATTTATTGATGGAAATAGAATGGTAACCACACCAGCATTATTGGTTACGTTTGTAATTGCTTTACCACTAACTTTAAAACTAAAATCCAAGATTAAGCATATAGTGATGTACAAAGGAAAAACCTGAAGCCTTAGGAATAGCAACGCATGTTGGGGTATCATGGGTGAAACAGTATACTCTGTTATGTCTATAAGCATCGGTTACTACCTTCCATATGGTGGGCCGTCAGCTTGTTTGCTATTCTAAGTTGCATAAAAAATAAAATAAAAAAATCATAATGTATGCTTTTGCGACAGGTATAAGAGTGGCATAGAGGTATTCCTGCAGACTGGAAACAATTTATTAGATTTTGTATAAAAGTCGTGGGGCTACTTAACGAATTGAGTAGCTCCATTTAAAAGTTACTGAAGAAGTTTATGGTCCACAGCTGGACCGGCTGCGAGGGCTGGTGAAGGGTGAGCTGACGTTCTTCCAGCGAGAGGTGGTGTGCGCGCTCATCGTGATCGAAGTACACGCGCGTGATGTCACGCGGACTCTCGTCGACGAGAACGTCAAGAGCGTCACCGACTTCCAGTGGATGTGCCAGCTCAGGTACCCGTCGTAGCAGTCTTTGACAGAGCGAGAGAGAGACAGAAAGTGACAGTTTTGGTACCGTGTGTACAACTATTCCTTGAGAGAGGGAGAGAATCTCAACTAGTATGTAATCAGATTATGGATCTTTTATGCGGCACATTTGTATTGTAATTGCTGTTTAAAAGTGTTCTTGTACTTTATAGCCTGTATAGTGGGGTTATTAAATATATAGTGAAAGGGTTTAGAGATTTCTATTGATCAATAACCTCTTAACCAACATCTATCAAATAGTTGTAGAAATTTCTTCTTACTCACCTGCTTTTAAATGTTATATACAGATACAACTACATATTTCATTAACTGCAATTGTCAATCCGCCTGCCAAGCCTGGCAATTAGTGGCAAAACCTCCCAAGGAGGAGGCCTATATTTAGCAGTGGACAGTTAACGGCTGATTTGTTAATGATGATTGAGAATTAACAAAAAATCAAACACTTCACACCTGTAGAATTTAGAACGAGTTCATAGGAGGGTTTTGCTGTCCTTGTCCCCATAGATAACATATGTATGACATTGACTGACAGATACTACCAGATAGTTCGCGACACGTACCCACTGGAAGAGGGCGAGTCGGCCGAGATATACCAGGATGAGAACCGTCTAGACACATCGGCCTACTACCGCCAGTTCAGCCAAAACCGGTGTGACGTGAAGGCGCTCAATTCTGTCTTCACGTACCAGAACGAGTACCTCGGGAACAGGTGCGTGGCTTGTCGCTGGCGGGCGCCACCTTCGCACGATTAGTTTGTTGTACTAGATAGATAGTGTATGTATTCGTAGATATTTGTCTTTGTAGAATGCACATAAATTATTTTGTGTACTATCTGAGAGAAAAAGTCTTCGGAAACCAGCGTGCATACCTGAGATATGTTACTAAGTGGCTGTGTGTAAGAGAACTTGTTTGCACTTCACTTTCTTTGCCAACCCTGTAACGAGTTAAAAAAAATTACCGAATAAAGATAAGACTATTGATAGAAACAGCATTACAGATGATATGGAGGTTTAGTGCCAAAGATTTTAGTGTAGGAATAAGTAGTTTTGTACTGGCATTCTCAGTTTTCACACAACAGTATACTCTGTTGTGTCCATGGTACTGCTCATGTCTATAGGCAACGGTTACCACTTTCCATCAGGTGGGCCGTCAGCTTGTTTGCCATTCTAAACTGTATAAAAACAAAAACAAAAATAAGAAAACTATTGTTACTACAAGATTACTGGCATTATCGCTCGCCTGATCCTTAAACTAGGATATCCTATATTATGAGGATCCAGGTATTGAATATCTGGAGACACAACCCAGAACATTCACATCTGTGTAAATTCAGAAAATTTCATTTCTTAAACTGGCTATACCAGGAATGGAACCTGGGACTTTCTTTGCTCAAAGCAACGTTCTCACCGTGGAAGTCATCAAATTTGTCTCAATATCTCAAAATAATATGGTATGGTCCATGTGTCAGTGGAAGGCTGGTCATCACGCCGTTGACGGACCGCTGCTACCTGACGCTGATGTGCGCCATGCATCTCAAGTTCGGCGGTGCTCCTGCCGGGCCTGCCGGCACTGGCAAGACGGAGACCACAAAGGTAAATCCCTATCTCTCATGTCCACCCATTACGAGTACGTTAATATGTATTGAACTGAGATCACCAAATCACACCTGTCGTTCCTTTATTCACAAGGGTTTTAAACCTGAGACCATCAAAGTTCATCTGTCTCTCACTAACCGAACTACTAGACTACGATATTACACGTTTATTCTGTCACTCTGCCTCCCACTCTTCTTTCGCCCACGAAATTTTTTTATTCAATTCTAATGGCAAACAAGATGCTGTACGTCTAATGGATAGTGGTAACTGTCGATCATCGACATGTAAATAAAGTAAGTAAGTTTTGCAAATAATAGGCTAATGGCTAAATCTTATCACATTATTGGGCAAATGTGTCATTAAGATCTCTCTATCTCTCTCTCTTTATATTATTAATAAAAAAAATAATTAGTATTGAATATTGTATTGTTTTTGCGCAGGACTTGGCGAAAGCTTTAGCGGTGCAGTGCGTGGTATTCAACTGTTCCGACCAACTGGATTTCATGGCAATGGGCAAGTTCTTTAAGGGACTGGCGGCGTAAGTTGCCTTTTTCAAATTAAGAATTGAACTAGACAGAAAGAGATGAGAATATTATATATAATATATAAAATTAAAATATGAGAATTGTACTGTATTGTACTGTAAAATCTTTATTGTACAGAATTCATACGGAATATATCAGAAGATTTAATAAAAAAAAAATAAAAAAAACAGTTGTATTATGACTTCTTTCTCAAGAAACAGTAACGCTTCATGCGTTAAATGGAATTCATGGCTGTCTGAGTGTACCTTATATGCTTTAGATTTAATATAATATACACTCAGTCTACCTTCCCTCACAGGGGGGAAAGGGATTGTTAGTTATGGAGACTGAGAATCCCATTGCTAATAATATACCCAACCAGGTCAACCTCCTCGCGGTTCTCTCTGGAAACTATCATGGTTAATTCCTGTTGAATTCATCATGATGGGCTAACTGGCCTATTTTCATTCTCATCTATCACCCTTCACTGGTGCTCCGCCAGCTTATCCCGTTAGCGCAGGCGGGGTTACCATACCATTTTCACCCATCGAAAAAAAAACCCTCCCTCACAGGGGGGACAAGGATTATTAGTAATGCAGACTACCAGTCCCATTGCTAGCAATATATCCTGTCAGGTCGACCTCTAGGTGGTCGCCTCTGGAAACCATCGTGGTCTATTCATCACGATGGGCTAACTGACCTGCCTTTTCTTTCTCAACTATCATCCCTCACTGGTGCCGCGCCAGCGTATTCTAGTAGCGCAGGCGGGGTTGCCATTCCATTATCATCCATTAAAAAAACCCTCCTTCACAGGGGATAAAGGATTGTTAGGAACGGAGACTAAGAGCCTCATTGCTAGCAATAGACCGAACCAGCTCGATCTTCACGTGGGCCGTCCTGGAAACCACTGTGTTGACTTTCAGGTGTATTTTTTTTTATTGGATGAAAATGGAGTGGTAACCCCGCCTACGTTAATGGGATACGCTGGCGGGGCACCAGTGAAGGGTAATCGATGAGGATGAAAACAGGCCAGTTAGCCCATCATGATGAATTCATCAGGAATTAATCATGATAGTTTCCAGGGGGAACCGCGAGGAGGTCGACCTGGTTGGATATATTGCTAGTAATGGGATCCTTAGTCTCCATTACTAACTAAATCCCCCCTTTCAGGTGTATTTAGCACGATGGGTTAACTGACCTGTCTTTTCGTCATCACTTATCATCCCTCACTGGTACCTCGCCATCGTATACCAATAGCGCAGTAACATTAACGCAAACATAAACTTAATCGTAAATGTTGGAATCAAAATGCGCTGAAATTGTTTTAGTTAATTAATTAATTCTACAAAAATAAGAAATTGTGTACAGTATGAAAGTTGATGGAGGAAGAGCTCGGAAACAGATCGCCGTGTTGCAATGCTACATTAATCAGTGTTTCCATATATAAAAATTACATTGTTAGTTTATGGTTTTACAATAAAAAAATATTTTATGTTAAGAAATAATATTGGATCTTAACAATAAACGTAAATGTAAATGTTAATATATATATATGTATATATATATATATATATATATATATATATATATATATATATATATATATATATATATATATATATATATATATATATATATATATATATCTAACTATAATAAAAAAACTATAGTAAAAAAAACAATGCTCTTCGAGTCAAATATAATAATGCCTTCAGGGCACTGTTGGGGCTACTTAGTTACTGTAGTGCGTCACACATGTTTGCACGAGAGCGTACGGATGATTTTTACGCAATACGGCGTAAATGAATTGTTTCGCTGTTGGGTAGGGTGCGTGTTAGATCAAACAGTGTCCTGAAGACAATTGCTGATAAAATGATCAGCAATTCAACAAGCCTAAAATATTGGAGGTTATCAATGAAAGAGCGTTATGACCGCTCATTTACTAACATAGGTTAAGTCAATTTATAACTAACAAAATGGGCCTTATGTAGTCTAAATAAATAATAATAATTATTATTATTATAAATATGTGTATATATATAATTTTTAAGGTCCGGCGCGTGGGCATGTTTTGATGAATTCAACAGGATCGACATAGAAGTGTTGTCAGTTGTGGCTCAACAAGTATGTTGCTTCCGTACTATACTCGTAGATTATAAGGTTTTTGTTTATAGCAAATGCACAGGAAAACTTTATATTATTATTCATATATATCGAGCAAGAATGAATGGAGATGTCGGTAGGGGCCGCCCTAGACGGAAGTATGTTGACCAAATAGGTGACGTGCTGAAGAAGGGCCAAATTAGAAGTACCCGTAACCGGCGAGCGTGTATGAAAAGATTGATGAATGTGGAAGAAGCGAAAGAGGTTTTTTTGAATCGAAGCATTTGGCGTTCCATTGTTTCTGCCTACCCTAATGGGAGACAAGCGTGACAGATATGTATGTATGTATGTATGTATGTCATATAAAGACATCTTAGTTCTTTGGAAAGCCAACGCAGTTAATCACGAGATATTACAGTTTTTTCTGTGTTGTATAGTTTATTCGTATTAAAATATTTTAGTAATAAAAAAATAAATACATAAAAGCTTATAAGAGTCGAGTTAATAATACTTACGTTTATTGCGAAATTATCCAGGTGGTGACGATTCAGAAGGCCCAAGTCTTGAGGTTGGAGAAATTCATGTTCGAAGGTTGCGAGCTCCCACTGAAGGCGTCATGCTCTGTTTTCATCACCATGAACCCTGGATATGCAGGTACAAAAGTAGATTTTTGGGTACCTCTGTCTCATTCGTGTTTCAACAACAAAAAAAAAAAAAATTGCAGGGAGTCAGTGGATGCAGGTGTCTCAGGACCGTTACTTTTGGCAGTCTATATGAGAGGCCTACTTTCAGCAGGGTTCAGCTAACAGATGATATGATGATGATGATGAATAAAACAATCATAGAATTAAATAGCTTCAGATCAAAAACTCTAGATAGAGTGTATTTCTATATTTGCTGACCATTTATTGGTTTGTTTTTGATACTTGACGCTCCATTTATTATCATTAAATTTCCTGCCTCAGGTCGAACAGAACTACCGGATAATTTGAAAGCCCTATTCCGCCCTATAGCCATGATGGTGCCTGACTACGCCCTCATCGCGGAGATCTCCCTCTTCTCCTACGGCTTCTACGAAGCGAAGATCCTCGCTGGGAAAATCACCACCACATTTAGATTAAGCTCCGAACAGCTGTCGTCACAGGTTAGTATTTTTTTTATGGATGATTATGAAATGGTAACCCCGTTTCCGCTGACAGTATAAGCTGGCGGGGCACCACTGAGGGACGATAGGTGAGAATGAAAACGCAGGTCAGTTAGCTCAACGTGATGAATACACTTGGAATTTAGCACGATGGTTTCCAGGGGAACTACGTGGAGGTCGACCTGATAGGGTATATTGCTAGCAATGGGACTGGTAGTCCGCATTACTAACAATCCCTTTCCCCCACAAGAGATCTCTGTCAGAGATAAGTCCATTCTTGCTTACAACGTTTATAAATGCATTAACAATTAACAAGTGCAATAAAGAATATATATCAGATAGTTTATGTACTGATTCAGGTGTGCGGAGCCGCGGTATACATTTCACTGGTGAAGGCTTTAAACTGTGATATATTTTCGCCTCTTTCCAGGATCATTATGACTTCGGCATGCGCGCGGTAAAGACTGTGATCCTGGTAGCGGGGAACCTCATCAGACAGATACCGGACGGTGATGAACGCCAGATCGTGCTGCGAGCCCTCCGCGACGTCAACGTGCCCAAGTTCCTCGCTGACGATCTGCTGCTCTTCAACGGTAAGTTGCAGTTTTCTTTTATAACACTTAATGGCAGGCTAATGGCCACCTGATGGAAAGTGGTGACCGTCGCCTATAGACATGAACAGCACCATGGCTATTGCGGATAAAATAAAATAGCTAAATAAAAATTGTCTTAAAATGCACTTGATTACTTCAGTGTCTTTATCCAGGAGGGCTTTTAATGGATAATAAGGGATTGGTAACCCCGTCTGCTCTACGGTATACACTGGTGGGGCACTAGGGAGGGATGTCAGATGAAGCTGTCAGAAGATTAGATGGCCCATCGTGGCGAATTAAAGAGTCGACCACAATGGTTTTCAGAGGGAACCGCGTGGAGGTCGACCTGATGGGGTATATTGTTAGTGATGGGATTATTAAGGCCTAATACTAACAGTTCCTCTCTCCAGCAAGTTTTGGCCAATTTAACCTTTTTGTATGACAATATTTTGTCATTTGAGATCTGTTTGACACTAATATTTAACTATTTATAGCTCAAGTAAAGGCAAATAAGTTGTAATATATAGCAATATCTATATATTTTAGTTATAATATCTATATATCGGTCCAATAAGGAATATGTTCAACGTCTGTTATCCAAAAAATAATATCGGATAACAGATTTTTTATCTTTGAAAATAAATATCCGACAGATATTGGCGATAACGAAATGGGTGATGACCTTACTTCCATCATTTATTTCCAGAGAAACCCAATATATAGATATCGGATCGGTATTCATATTACCCAAACCTACATATAAGTTGATACATATGATCTTTTGTAGATAAGTATTTTCAACACACGACCCAATTACGATATTCATGTACAGGTATAATATCCGACTTGTTCCCGCGCGTGGAGATCCCCGTAGTGGAATACGGTATCATGGAGCAGTCCATCAGGAACATGCTCGTCAAACGAGGCTTCGACGAACTCTATAGTGAGTATTGAATACTTGTTTTCTCTGTGTGATCTGTGTGTGATATTTTTTTTTTGTAATATGTAAATTTACAAATTTTTTAATCGATTTTGAATGGAATGGAATTTCAAGATGTTTCTTGTAGCTATGTTTTATCTTCTCAACATGTAGAGTGTGTTTTCCAAAGGAGATATATCGTTTATTATTTACGGCGTTTCTTCCTCATTGTGACAAAAACTGCAAACACTTTGGGCATAAGCCTAGTTGGGTCATATACTTGTTTAGTTTGCAGTGTTCAGTCCCTTGTTTGCTTAATCCTGTGACTATGTTACTCTTTCAGCGTTCATATTCAAAGTGATCCAACTGTACGAGACTACGGTGGTACGGCACGGCCTGATGCTGGTAGGACCCGCTGGGGCCGGCAAGACTAAGGTATTGGGGACTTACGTTTCTAATAGTTTAATAAACTTTGGCGTTGTTTTTACCTATTTTTAATACACAATCGGTACTTAACGTGATGTGAAAGCCTTTACAGGTAAATAGTACCTATATATCTAATTCATACATAATTACATTTCTCTTTTGTCAAAGGTTGACTGGGAGAGAATGCTGTATAGTATTAAGTCCGCCTTTCGTACCAGACATTTTTTTTGTAATGTGGTTAATAAAGAGTAAATATTTATTTATACTTTATTATACAGAAAAAAAATACAAACATATAATTTATACTAAATAAATGTACGACAGGCGAGCTTAACTCTGTAAGAGTTCTCTTCCAGCAAACTCTGAGTGGAAAGGAGCAAATAAATTACAACCTGCTTCTTTATTGCCAACGTTTACGTACTTTTACACCGTGTTAAATCCGGATTGTGTATTTAAAATATACGTCTCTGAGTTGTAAATACTTAGTTACATTTATACAAATTGATCTTTATAAGTGAGGATGCATTTACACTACTATTTTCTTAACTTATCATCATGATTATCATCATATCAGCCTATGTCCACTGTTAAACATAGGCCTTCCCCACAAAAATGGGGTTTGCCAGTAGCGGCTACGCTTGGTAAATGGGTTGGCAACCGCAGTTAGGCTTTGATGATGTATTAAAAGGGACACTGCTGCTCATTCCTTGATAAAACAAAAAATAGTAATATCTATCTATCCTATCTAAGAGCTGCGCTCTTGTCGGTGGAGCTCTTGCCGCTCACTACGATTTTCAGCGAGTCTCTTCACCTCTTGATACGGCACGACACCAACTCCTTCCTTGATCTGCCTGATGTAAGTATGCCTCGGTCTCCCTCTCCCCCTCCTTCCTTCTATCTTACCTTCTATTATAATGTTTATAAGTTCGTCGTGTCGTATCAAGTGTCTCAACATTTTTCCCCTTCTGTCCTCAATAGTTCTAATAATTTGTCTTTTTTCCTCAACCCTAAGCAGGACCTTCTCATTGCTAATTCGATGCAGTAATATATAATATAAAAGAAAAAAATTAAAATGTAAAAATAAATAAATAAAACATTAATAAAAAAAATAAAAAAAACAGATGATCTACAAACAGAGATAAATAAATGTATAAAAGTTAAAGAAATATTCTTTTCCCCTAGAATTTTTTTTTAATTCGCCAGTAGGTTCCGAGGCAATATATACTTATTTCTTATTTGATTCCGTCGACGCAGTGTTACGAAGTGCTCCGCGACGCACTGACCGCGATAAAGGGTAAACTGGCGCCGGACGGCCTCCCGTTCGCGCCCGTACACACGTACGTGGTGAACCCCAAGTCGATCACGATGGGACAGCTGTACGGGGAGTTCGACTTGCAGACGCATGAGTGGTGAGTACTAGTACTTAATACATACAGTATTATAATGTATAAGTCTCTTTCTACAGTCGTACACTCTTGACAGAGTGGTCGTGGTTTTTATGACGATAGTGGATCGACGATGAAGCCCTCTTTCGTGATTGAGGTCCTCGCAATGCGTCTCCATCTACTTTTGCTCACAGCCGAGCGAGAGTATTCCACAGTAGACTGCTGTGTGGCCGTATATATAATATATAAGTAGGCGGTGCATTTACTACTAAAATAAGTATAAATATTGTCATTATAATACGATTATAATACTAATGACGATAAATTAGAACAGCACGGATAAAAGAAAAGAGGAGAGAGAGAGAGAGAGAGAGAAAAAAGAGAGAGAAAAAAGAAAGAAATAAAAAATGTGTTACAAGTTTTTTTTAGGAAGTAAACCCATAGTTTGTATGCTTATGTATGCTTAATTCTTTAAAACTACACAAATGGCTTTTGATGCTTTTTTTTGTATAAATAGAGTGATTCAAGAGGAAGGTTTATATGTATAATACATGCATAATATAATAGAGAAACACTGATAAATTTAGAGGTTTCTAATGTGATGTAATGTGCACCCGTGCGAAGTCGGGGCGGGCCGCTAGTAGAGTATATCTGTTTGTTTACGTAGGACGGACGGTATTCTGTCGAGCATGGTGCGCGCCGGTATCGCGGTGGAGGATCTGGACAAGCGCTGGTACGTGTTCGACGGGCCCGTCGATGCTGTCTGGATAGAGAACATGAACACCGTACGTTGGTTTGTTGTACCCTCTCTCCTAACTGATAACCTAGACCAGTGTTTCCAAACCTTTTTTGTGCCATGCCCCACTTGAACATTTCTATACTTGAACTGGCTTCATCTTCACCTGTCATCCTTCACTAGTGCCCGTCATCGTATACCGTTAGCGGAGGTGGGGTTACCATTCCATTATCATCCATTAAAAAAAAATATAGTGTTACTACTCTTTAACATTTGGTTAAGGAGGGTTGGGCAATTCTTTTGAAGAATGCTTTTGAAATGTGTGTACAAAGAATTACTAGTTTCTGGTAATCTATGCTTTATTATGTTTACTTTGAATAAACTAGTTTACAACGTTAGCTTGTATTTATAGGTATTGGACGACAATAAGAAACTGTGCTTGTCGAGCGGCGAGATAATGAAGCTGACTGACCGTCAGCGGATGATCTTCGAGGTGGCAGATTTGGCGGTGGCATCGCCAGCGACGGTCTCCCGCTGTGGGATGGTGTACCTCGATACGAGCGTGGTGGGGCTGCAGCCGCTCGTTAACGCCTGGCTCAAGAGCTCCTTACCACCGGTCAGTTCATTAACTGGTATTTTTATTTATGGGTGATAATGGAACAGTGCCAGTGAGGCATGATAGGCGAGGATGACAGCAGGTAATTTGGCTTACCGTAAGGAATTCCACAGGAAACAACCACGATTATTTTAGGGGGAACCGCGTGGAAGTTGACCTGATAGGGTATATTGCTAGCAATGGGACTGCTCCACCTCATTACTTACAGTTTATTTCCACCCAAAGATAGTATTTGTTATAATCATGTAAAGGTTGACGGTATTTTCATTTTGATAGATGATAATGCAATGGTATTGTGTGTAATCTTTGTTTAGGCTGATGTGTGTGTGGGGGGGAGGGGGATCTCAGTTACCTCTATTGATGAATTATATACGTCGGTATCTAGGGGGGATCGCTTAGATGTCGTCTCGATAGAGACATTGCTGGATTGTCATCTCATTGAATTCAATGTGGCAAGGTGCCTATTTCCACCTTCACTCGTTCTTCGAAAAGTGTTTATTAAGGTTTCTTTTAAGTTGGCAACACGCACGAGACGTTTCTGGTGTTGCAAGCATTTATAGACCATTGTGACCGTTTTCCATCAGATGGGTCGTATGCTTGGTCTCTTTATTGTTATAAAAAAACTAACATAGGTGATCTGGATATTTTACAGTAGCAAAATTTGTTAAATTTGGATCGTAAATTATCCAATATACAGATCGCGGATAATATCCGCAAGTTACTGCCGAACCTGATTACCACATACTTGTACCCGTCGCTGACGCTGCTCCGAAGCCGCCTCACGGAGCTAGTGGTGTCCATCGACAGTGCCCTAGTTCTCAAGTTCTTGGAACTTCTGGACTACCGTCTACGACCTCTCACCGGGAAGGACGACAGGCCGCCACCAGCGGGACCCTTCCTCGCGTTGATGCGTTAGTTACTTCCTCATAATGATTTCGATTGTCTACTGATTTAGGTAATCAACGTTTAATACTGTCACTATCGTAATTTGCTAACAATGCCTTTCCCCCCCAGCCACTGCTCCGCTGGCACCGTGATGGGTAATGTGGGAAGTGATATATTCCATAGTTGAATCGTAAAATAGTCATACAAGTATAATTGCTTTGGGGATTATTAGTAATGCGACTACTATACATCCCCCTCTGGATACCATCGTGCCGAATTCTAGGTATATTCATCACAGTGGGCTAACTGACATGCCTTTTTATTCTCACCTATCATCCTTCACTGGTGCCCCGCAAGCATATACCGTTAGCGCAGGCGCGGCTACCATTCCATTATCATCCATTAAAAAAATAATACAGTTGCTTCACGGCAGAAACACGAGTAAAACAAAGGTGCTTAAGCAAATGATGTTACGACAACAAATACAAAGTTTCTCTCGGATGTCTGTAGCCTCACTGATATAATGCTAGGTAATCTGGACAATAATATGTAATGCCATTCAACCGAAACACAGCCATACAAACACGAGTGGTACAACAGTACTCATGCAAATGAAGTTAGTACAAAGTCGCTCTTGGTGGCCACGGCTCGACTGACAACATGCTGGGTAGTGTGGGCGATATGTCCTACTATTCTATTCGAATATAACCATGCAAGCATAGTTACTTGGCGGAAACGTAAATGGTACAAGGTCCCCAAACAGACGACGTCAGTATAAAGAATTCCTCGGGTGATTCCTTTGGATATTGCATCGTTGAATCGTATCAATGGCATGCAAGGGCAGCTGCTTGACAGAATTAACAGAGATATCAATGTAGAAGACGTTTGTACCAAGTCTCCTTCTGATGATTACAGCGCGGCTGGCACCATGCTGGGTGGTTTGGGCGGTGATCTGGTCAGTGGGTGCTACTTGCAACCACAACGGGCGAGCCATCTTCTCCGACCACATGCGCAGTCTCATGGAGAAGGCGGGCATGAAGCCACTCTTCCCCAAGGAGGGCAGGGTCTATGATTACACGTTAGTACCCATAATGATATGGTTTGATTATGGTTTGCTTATATGGTTGGATTATAGCAATGAGGTACGATATCTGTATCATGGCGTAGACATATTTACATACAAAAATAATAAAATAGAAGTCAGTGACCCCATCTACATACACACAAATGCACATATGCATGTGAGCATGTTATTTACATAGACGTTAGTATACCTGCTACGTACTGGCAGTGTAATTAAAATAATGAGACAAGACAATGGTTACACTAGTGTGCGTGTTTTATAGATGTGTGATGACAGTTCTCAATATATATGTTTTTTTTTAATGGATGATAATGGAATAGTAACCCCACCCGCGCTATCGGTATACACCGGCGGGGCACCAGTGAGGCATGATAGGTGAGGACGAAACAGGTCAGTTAGCCCATCGTGACAAATTCAACAATAAACCAATCAAGATGGTTTCCAGGGGGAACCGCGAGGAGGTCGACCTGATAGGGTCTATTGCTAGCAATGGGATTGGTAATCCCCATTGCTAACAACCCCTTCTCCCCCTTCAATATATATGGTATGAAATTGCAATAGTACCAAAAAAATAATGTATTTGTTACTATTTTAATTGCAATTTGTGGACATTCTGAATTTTATATGAATTAAATATTATTTAATTATTTTTGACAGTTCTATAATATTGCATTTCAAGTAATGTTTACAGCTTAACTACATGAAAAATGTGCAGTTTTGTAGACTTTTTCCTAATTTATGTTATATTCTGATCCGACACATTCAACTCTAACCATGTTTACTTAAAACACATTAAAATTTAAAAATAATCATAATTTATTTTGTTCGTACTCCCGCCAGATCAGCTTCGAGCTTATATATATATATATATATATATATATATATATATATATATATTGTTTTTTTTAAATTGGCAATCTATATACGAGGTCTGTCCGGAAAGTTCGTATAAAAGTGTTCTGGAATGCGAGAAAGAGGAGTGGGGAGGCCAGGTAAGCGCAGGACCCCTTCCTTATGTCCCTAACAATGCTTCAGTTCTGGTCTGACCGCCGTGCGGTGCGAACTGGCTTGTCACGCCATCTGTGAAGTTACCTCTTAACGAAACCCCGTCGGCATGGAGCCCGCTTCCGTTGAAGAGCAGCGCGTCGTAATCAAGTTTCTCTCGAAACTCGGCAAGAATGGCCGTGAAATTTTTGCCGATCTCAGAACAGTTTATGGGGATGATGCTGTGAAGGAACCAACCGTCCACAAGTGGCTAAAAAGATTCAGAGAGGGCCGAGAAAGCGTTCAAGATGACCCACGTTCAGGACGTCCTTCCACTTCACATTCCGACGAAAACGTGGAAAGAATTCGAACTTGTGTTAATGGGGACCGTCGTTTAACGGTCAGACAGGTGGCTGAAGAGCTTAATTTGGGCAAAACCGTGGTCCACGAAATTCTAAGAAACGAACTTCAAATGAAAAAAATTTGCGCCAAGATCGTTCCGTGAGTTTTTGAGTAAAAATTCCATTACGGTGACCGAACACCCCCCCTATTCGCCGGATTTGGCCCCGTGTGACTTCTTCTTGTTCCCAAAAACCAAATTGGTACTTCGGGGGCGGCATTTGGGGGACATAAATGAGATAAAAAAAGCTACGACGGGGCAGCTGAGAAACCTACAACCAGAGGACTTTCAAGGAGCCTTCTCACAGTGGAAACGGCGTTGGCACAAGTGCATTATGTCACAGGGGGAGTACTTTGAAGGGGATAAAATTGATTTACCTGAATAATTGTAAAATAAAATTTTTAAAAAACTTTTATACGTACTTTCCGGACAAACCTCGTACTTTATATTATTTGTGTCTGTGATAGTGAGAGCTCAGGATTTTATCAGGAGGAATGTCTAATGTCGGCTGCGACTGTATTTGTATGCGATTCCAGTTTGCACGACGGCGGTTTCACGGACCAGACGGAGGACGGTGAGCCCGCCAATCCTTACTGGTACAGCTGGATGGCCAACATGGAGGAGTACCAGGTCGATCCCGAGTGGCAGTACGCAGGTACTGTCCACTTACTTACATATATACTTATCCGGTTATGTTTGTAGTTTTTTTTTTATTTTAATTAAATGTATATGTTGTTATGGCCATTATCTATGTATAAAAGGAGAAAATGTACGGATTGATCATGCGTACATCATCGTCATTATCATTATATCAGCCATTAACTGTTCACTGATGAGAATATGGCAGTCCATAAGGAACAGTTCCGAGCCACCTGCTACCATTGACTCCTTGCAATGCATTTGAGGTGTGTCGTCTTGCACTGCAATTAGGGAGGAAAGGGATTGTTAGTAATGAGGTCTAGTAGCTTTGTTGCTAGCAATTGACCCTCTCAGGTCGACATTCGCGCGGTTCCCCCTGGAAACGATCATGGTTGATTCTTGACGAATTCATCAAGGTGGGCCAACTGACCTGCATTCATTCTCGCTTGTCATCTTCCACTGGTGCCTCGTCAGTGTATATCGATAGCGCGGTCGGGGTTACTATTCCATTTTCATCTATTAAAAGAAAATACACTGCGATTGTCTATATGAAGTCGGCATTCCAGAACCTATTTTCTCTATCAATTCATTGCCACTTCAGCTTGCTTATCCTTCGAGCTATGTTTATGACTTTGGTTCACGCGGACATGTTACAAACAAAATATCAATATTATATAGAATAATATATATATATATATATATATATTATGACAAGCTGACGGCCCACCTGATGTAAAGTGGTAACCGTCGTCGATAGACATGAGCAGTACCATGGACATAACAGAGTATACTGTTTCGTCCATGATATCCCCCTTGCGTTGCCATTCCTGAGGACTCAGGTGGACTATTCCTCTGTACCCAGTAAATTCACGCTATATCCCACCCTTCAAACTGAAACACAGCCATGCAACACAACTGCTTTACGGTTGAAACACGAATGGAACAAAAGTACCCAAGCAATCGACTTTTGTACAAAGTCTCCCTCTGGAGATAATATTTTTGAAAATATTATCTATCCATGAGAAACTGGGCTGGTTTGCTAGTATGGGATACAGATTTAAATGTATACCCCCAGACATCGAGGTGCCGACACTGGACAACGTTCGTAGCGCGGCGATGCTCGGCTACAAGATCGCGAACTACAACCACGCGGTGTGCGTGGGCCCCACTGGCACCGGCAAGACGGTCACCATCACGTCGAAGCTCTCGCGCGGCCTCCACAAGAAGTTCATATGCGAGTTCATCGTCTTCTCGGCCAGGACCTCCGCCAACCAGACGCAGGTACTGTCGGCTGTTTATCATAATCATCTTCACTGTCCTGTCCACTGCTGAACATAAGCCTTATCTTCTCTCTATTTGATTGCATCTTCATATGAAAAATTGGTGTTCTTTATTTATATATTTATATTATATAATTATTTGTGCCTGTAAATATTTATATTTGTTTTAACATTAGGTATATATTTGCTGTATGCGGAATACCAGTAATGGATGGAGGAATAATAAGTGAGAATGAAAAGGCTCATCAAAAAAGGCTAGCTTATCGTGATAAATATACCTGGAATTCAGCACGATGATTTCCAGGGCGAAGGGGGCACGTAGAGTTCTATTTGACAGGGTATATTGGTAGCAATGGGACTGATAGTCTGCATTACTAACAATCCTTTTCCTCCGTCCTTCCTTTGTGTTACTCTGTAATATTTCCTGGTATCGTTCTCTATCAGGACGTGATCGACAATAAGCTGGAGCGACGGCGGCGCGGTGTGTTCGGCCCGCCGCCGACCAAGCGGCAGGTGTTCTTCATCGACGACCTCAACATGCCCGCACTCGAGGTCTACGGCGCCCAGCCGCCCATCGAGCTGCTGCGCCAGTTCATGGACTTCTCGGGTACGTGTTCTGTCTCTATCTAATACGAGGGTCGCAGCAGCTAAAGTAGGGAATTTAGCAAGTACAGTGAAGTTCAACTGTTACTACATATCTTGTTTTATGAATTTTATTAAACGTATATTTTTATGACTATGAACTATGGTGTTGTCTCTGTACTTAATCCAGTAATTTAACTGGTATGTTTTGTTTTTTAAACCGGAATCTAGTATTTGAATTAACTCCTTATTATTATATCACCCGCTAATTATCCACTGCTGTACATATGTTTCCCCCACAAGGGGGGGGGGGGTTGTCAGTAGTTGTCACGCTTGGCAGGCTTGTTGGCAACCGCTGTTCGTTTTGGTGATGTTTTAAGAAAGGCGCTGCTGTCCCTTCCTCGACCTTTAAGCTCTCTTAGTTGTCTCTTAAACTTTCACGGGAAAGGAAGGGGTAGCCCATTCTATACCGGGACTACAAGGCGAAATCCTTAGCAATAGAAAATTGAGGGAGGCAAAAGTAATTGACGTTTGTTTTAAGAGCTTTCGTTACTATCATATTTCATACCACTTAAACAATATACATATATTACCAAATATCGTAGAACGATAGATAGAACTTCGGAATGTTTGATGTTATGGTGGATGTAGGCACTACAGTGTTATGCCTCTCTACTTACTAATTTCACTCTCATACCTCACTCTTCAATTTGGAATCGTTCACGTAAGGAAACTGTTTACTAAAAACCATTATGAACAAAGTAAAAAAACTAATAATTTTTTATGCTATAAATTAGCTAAGTTCTTTTTTATACCATTGAGGTGGCAAACAAGCATACGATCCACCTGATGGTAAGCGATTACCGTAGTCTATGAATGCCTACAATATTGGGGATATTACGCGCGCATTGTCGACCCTGAAGAAACCTTTTTACCCCCCTTTGAAGAACCCCATGCTGTAGTCTCTTGGGAGAACCTCGACAGGGAGCTCATTCCATAACTTGAGTGTTTGTGGGAGAAAATATCTCTGAACTCCGTATCGATGGAGAGCCGTATGATAGCAGAAAGCAGCCGTGGGCGTCATATTGAACAATTTTTATGATATTTATTGATATCGATTATGTGGACATGGCTTATTCTAAATAGTTATACAATATTATGTTTACTATTTGTATATAACTATTTATTTTTAAGTGTGTTGGTACTTTAACGTGGTTGCATAGATTTCTTTTCCACTTTCGTTAATATGAAAGCAGTACCGGCTCCCAAATAATTGGTGATTTTGTGGTGCAGGGTGGTACGATAGGCAGAACATCGGCGAGTTCAAACTTTTAGTGGATGTGGGCATCGTGGCGGCCATGGGTCCACCGGGCGGCGGTCGCAATCCTGTCACCATGCGCCTCATGAGGCACTTCCACTACATCTCCTTCACCGAGATGGAGTACTCCAGCAAGGTAATGTTCTAAACATTATTATTTATATCGACGGGTTTGATTCCCGAGTCGATCCATCGGGTGAACCTACCGGGAATCAAACCTGTCGCTTGACGATGCGAGAACACGACGGCATAGTATTCAATCGTTCCACCACCACTACCACTGCCGTTGACATGCTCTTCTCGTATCTAGTATATGGAGTTAAAATATGTTGAAAAGAGATAGCAGCTGTTGTTCGCTCTAGGACATTATAGACTATTTTATGTTAAAACGGTGTTTCGATATGATATAGGCCAATGGAACTGTTTCTTTTTCTTATACCATGAAAGGTGGGAAATAAACACAGCTCGTCTAATGGTAAACGGTCATTGTAGCCTATGGACACCTGCAACACTCGGGATGTCATATACGCTTTGTCAACCCTGAAGAAACCTTAATATAATCTTTTCGAAGAACTCCATATTGTAGTCTCTACGGAAAACCTCGACAGGGAGCTCATTCCATAGCCTGAGCGTTCGTTGGAGAAATTTCCTTTGAAATCGCACTGTGTGTGGCCATTTAGGTTCAAGCGTGTGAGGATACATTCCCTGTTGATGGCGAGCGATGCGATGATAAAAGGTGGCTGTGGGCATCATTTGAAACTATTGTTTTCTTACTGGAACAAAACAGATGGAACAGGATCCTTATTTTATCTGTTTCAGACCACCTCTGTCTGTTTATATTACTGAGGTGGCAAGCGTACGGCCTACCTGATGGTAAGCGATTACCGTAGTCTATGAACGCCTGTAATACCAAGTGTATTAAGCGCGCGTAGCCGACACTGAAGAAACCTCTTTACCCCCTTTTAAAGAACCCCATGCTGTAGTCTTTTGGAAAAACCTCGGCAGTATGAATTCTATTATCAAGTTATATTGATATAATAAAAAATATAATCGAAATCTCCCTCGCTTCCAGTATGCCATCTTCAGCGTGATCCTCAACTCTTGGACGCGAAATTTCAACAACGTGACGGTGCGCGAAGCACCGTTCTTGAAGGCGTCCATCGAGATCTTCCACTCGCTGGTGGAGGAACTGCTGCCCACGCCCACGAAGTCCCACTACACGTTCAATCTGCGCGACCTGAGCAAGGTGTTCCAGGGGATCCTCATGATGGACCCCCATGCGGTTAAGGTATTTTGATATCCTTGTGATTGTGAGGAACATTTAAATGAGAAATATGAATACATACAATATTTATAAATATAGTTGTGCGCTCTCGGTAGAAAATGGGCTCCCCTTCCTTTTCTGTAGGTGTCGTAAGAGGCAAATAAGGGGACTTAGTGCTTCAGGGATGAGCAGCAGCATCCCTCTTAAAATATTACCAAAGGCCTAAGTGCGGTTGTCAACCCGCCTGCAGAGTGTGCCAACTACTGGCAAAATCCCCACCATTCATGGGAAATGAAATGAAATTTATTGCGATGAATGTGGTAAATTTAGGTAATATTATTACATTTTGTGTAATCTTAATATTCAGCCAGCTTGGCATGCAACATTTTTATATGCATTATTAACAATTACTATTAATTACAAGATTTACATGACTAAAGTCATGCATGCCAATATTTTTCACTCCTTTACGTTAGTCATACATTTATAGGTAATACAATACTCTACATTCAAAATTGAATTGTATAATGTCGTCCATTTTACATTTATTATAAAATTTTTTATTTAGATTACATTTAGAATTACATTTTACTTGGGGGAGGTCTTTGTTAGCAGTGGACAGTTAACGGCTGATATGATGATTATGATTATATGGGATGGAGAAGGATATTGCCTATTATTTATCCCGGTCAGTAAAAATAACCTGGTTACGCGGACGAAGACGCAGGTAAAAGCTAGTGCATAATAATATACTTTTTTTTACAGGACGAGGACGACGTCATCAGGCTGTGGTACCACGAACACCAGCGCGTGTACCAGGACAGACTGGTTAACGACGAAGACCGACAGTGGTTTGTGGGGTTGGTGATGTATTACTTATGAATAAAAAAAATTATGGTACGTGATTAAATTGTTTTGATATTGGAGCCGGAGTTGAAGGTAATCCGCAGTAAAAGTAAACAACCTAGACTAAATAATTAGAATACTTAATCGGTCTAATGTTTTCCAAATTGATTCCAAATGATTTAGCCTTTAGCTTGAGCTATCAAAAAGTTATTACAATATTTTTAGTACGCTTTATAAATAGCAAATTAGATTATGGATAATATTATTGCAGTTATAGTCGTGTGCAGGGCATTTTATATATTAGACATTTTATATATGTAATTTTAGTATGTATGTATATCAATAATTAGTAGTACCGCATTCGAGTATTCTGACACTTCCCTATGGTTGACTGGGAGAGAATGCTTTTAGCATTATGTCCGCCATGTATACATATTTGTACTAATGAATAAATAAATAAATTTTAGAAGACTAAAAATACTAACTATTCCAAGCCTATATATTCATGTTCTGATAATAGATTTAATTAAATATAGACATTTATATGAATCAGAGGATAGTATGAAACAACGATTAATTACAAGAAGGATGGATTTACAAAAGGTTATTATACCCAAATTTAACATAATACAATATTGTCCACGAAACCAAGCGGTGGTGTTATTTAATAAGCTGCCTAAGGAATTGATGTCACTGAATGATTTAAATATCTTTAGGATAGAATTGTAGTCATTACTGCTAGAAAGGTGTCTGTACTCAATTGACGAATTCTAATTATAGTAAATTTGAATATATACCTATATTGTTTATGTTAAGAGATGACTAAGTGACTGCAATATTTGTTTTATGCTTAATTTAATTTATATTTTATGTACTGTATCAAATTATTGTATCTACTATGACATTCAAATACAAATTAATAAATAAATAAATAATACGAATAAATAAATAAATAATAAAGAAACTACTGGATGAATTAAAACAAATAATTACGGGAATATACGTTACGTTTAGCTTAGAATGAATTAATTATGAATTAATGTATTATTATTAATCAAGCATTAGTAATTAACTATTAAATAATTAATAAAAATACATTATTTTTGATCAATTATATAATGTAATACTTTATTATATTATTACTGGAAACGAGGAATGTTACACATATGTTAAGAAATACTAAAAGCAGCGAAATAAATGGTGCCCGTCTTATAGATAATGTAATGTCCAATTAGATTGTTGAACAAGAAGATTCACACAGAATTCGGCAAGGATTGGGCGGACGTGGTCGGCGGGCGGCTCATGCTGTTCGGCGACTTCATGGACATCGGCGCTGACGACAAGAAATACGTAGAGATCACGGACAGAGATGAGGTTGGAAAGAACAATTCGTATGTCATTCACATTTTTCTCAACTCTTTGTGAGACTGAAAAGCATTTACTCTCTTGTTTTTATTCTTACGTAACACCATTTTTACATAAAAACACTCTGTCCCATTCGTGTTTCTACCGTGAAGCAGTTGTGTTTGTAGTTTAAAGAGTGGAATATGGCAGTGAATTTACAGGGTACAGAGGAATAACACCTAAAAATTACGTCAGTTAAGTCAGTGATAATTAAAATCGACTCTTGGTTTTTTTTATGCAACTTAGAATGGCAAACAGGCTGACGGCCCACCTGATGGGAAGTGGTAACCGTCGCCTATAGACATGAGCAGTACCATGGATATAAAAGAGTATACTGTTTCGCCCATGACACCCCCTATGCGTTGCAATTCCTGAGGACTCAGGTGTTATTCCTCTGTACCCTGTAAATTCACGCCATATTCCACCCTTCAAACCGAAACACAGACATGCAAACACAACTGCTTTACGATTGAAACGCGAATTGGACAGAGGTACCCAAGCAAACGACTTTTGTACAAAATCTCCCTTTCTCTTCCTTTCAGCTGAACGAGGTGTTAGCTCATTATCTGGACGAGTACAACCTGACGACAACGGTTCCCCTCGACCTGGTGCTGTTCGAAGATGCAGTGGCTCACCTGTTACGTTTGGCGCGTATTATGCGCCAACCAATGGCCAATGCACTGCTGCTTGGCATGGGGGGCTCGGGTAAGTATCTATGTCAACAGTTCTTAATCTATTTTAAATTATTTATTTATATTAGTTAATTATTATTATTTTTATAAATGAATATTTATTTTAATCATCATTATTATTATTATATAGAAAACGCCGTGTTCTCGAAATTAGAATAAAATATGATAAATTTGCAATGGGAATGACATAATTAATTGAAACTGAACTTGTTATTTTGTAAATTATGAATAAATGATCTGTATCTTATAGATGTAAAAGCTTTTTTTTTGTTATTTTTTTTTTTATACAACATAGAATGGCCAACAAGCTGACGGCCCACCTGATGGAAAGTGGTAACCGTCGCCTATAGACATGAGCAGTACCATGGACATAACAGATTATACTGTTTCGCCCATGATACCCCCCATGCGTTGCTTTTCTTGAGGACTCAGGTGTTATTCCTCTGTACCCAGTAAGTTCACGCCATATCCCATCCTTCAAACCGAAACAGAGCCATGCAAACCCAACTGCTTCACGGTTGAAACACGAATGGGACAGAGGTACTCAAGCAATCGACTTTTGTACAAAGATTTTACAGGTAAATAGTATCTACATACCTGCTTCTGGCGAGGGAAGGGATTGTTAATAATGCAGACTACCAGTCTCGTTGTTAGCAATATACCCTGTCAGGTCGACCTTCACGTGGTTCTCCCTGGAAACCATTATGCTGAATCCCAGGTGTATTCATCATAGTCGGCTAACTGACCTACCTTTTCATTCTTACCTATCATTCCTTACTGGTGCTCCGCTAGCGTATACCGCTAGCGCAGGTGAGGTTACCGTTCCACTATGATCCATTAAAAACATACCTGCTTCTTGCCGACTTTTAAAATATGTGTAAACAACGCGGAAGTTTAAAATTAATTCGTTCATAAACCTTTTTGACTGGTGACCCAATGTGTAAATGAATTTGAAACCCGCAACCTTAATATTGTTTGGGAGCAAATTGCCCCAAATTGGTTTCCCCGTCTCCACATAAGGGGGTGTGAGACGCCCCAGAGTGTGACCCTCGTGTTTTATTTACCTTTCGCTGATAATAAAAAAGATTAACTAAAGCCTCGTGATTTCTTATTTCTTTTCCGATTTAAGAGCTGCGCTCTTGTTGGTGGAGCTCTTGCCATTTACCGCGATTTTTAGCCACTCTCTTCACCTCTTGATACGACACGACACAATTTGTTCCATCATCTGTCTGATGTAACTATGCCTTGGTCTCTTGTATCTATTTTACCTTCTATTGTAATGTTCATAACTTTTTATATCGATTTTCAGGTCGCCAAAGCTTGTCGCGGCTGGCGGCAAACATGGCGGAGCTGCAGTGTATTCAGATCGAAATAACGAAGGCATACGGCCAGGCGGAGTGGCGCGATGACCTCCGCCAGACCATGTTACGCGCTGGCGCCGATAACAGGGGGGTGGTCTTCTTGTTTTCTGACGCACAGGTTACTTATTATAGATTTATGATTTAAAAGAGTCTCCGATTAACGTGATCATTTATATTGTTTCAACCGTAAAGCAGTTGTGTTTGCATGGCTGTGTTTCGGTTTGAATAGTGGGATATGGCGTGAATTTACAGGGTACAGTGAAATAACATCCGAGTCCTCAGGGATGGCAACGCATAGGGGGTATCATGGGCGAAACAGTATACTCTGTTATGTCCATGGTACTGCTCATGTCTATAGGCGAAGGTTACCACTTTACATCAGGTGGGCCGTCAGCTTGTTTGCCATTCTAAGTTGTATAAAAAAAAAGATGCAAGATCTTAGTGGCATTAATTGACGAGTGACTCAACAAAACACACACACAAAAATGGTGTTACGATGTAAAACTGTATGTAGTGTTTCTAAGTAAATAAAAAATTTAAAATTGATCTATTTGATTTTCCGCCCACGATATTAAAACAGTGATGTTTACCAACTACGATTCAGATAAAAATGGAGTCATTCCTCGAAGACCTGAACAACATACTGAGCTCGGGTGACGTGCCCAACATCTACGAGGCCGAGGACTTGGACAGGATCTACATGGCGGTGCGGCACGCGGTCATGGAGATGAACTGGGCCGCGACCAAGACGAACCTGTTCGCGTGTTACCAGCGCCGCGTCAGGAGCAACCTGCATATCGTGCTTGTCATGAGCCCCGTTGGTGAGGTGGGTAAATGCTTTCAAATAGTAATTGTTATATATCAAATAAAGAATAACGCTTTTTTTTTATATACAACTTAGAATGGCAAACAAGCTGACGGCCCACCTGATAGAAAGTGGTAACCGTCGCTTATAGACATGTGCAGTACCATGGACATAACAGAGTATACTGTTTCTTCCATGATACCCCCCATGCGTTGCCATTCCTGAGGACTCAGGTGTTATTCCTCTGTACCCTGTAAATTCACGTCATATCCCACCCTTCAAACCGAAACACAACCATGCAAACACAACTGCTTCACGGTAGAAACACGAATGGGACAGAGGTACCCAAGCAATCGACTTTTGTACAAAGTCTCCCTCTGGTAAAACACAAATTAATCATGGCTTTTTATTGTGAATGGCGTATTACAACTGATGACAGGCTATATCGTCATAGTCGTAGAATGCTGACGGATTTATATATGTAATATTTGTCAGATCCGTCAGTATTCTACGACTATGACGATATGTTAGTACCCTACATAATAATAGCTTTTTCCATAAAAATTTATAACAGTGAGGGTGGTTCTAGAAAAACACTGACACATTGATTTATTGATATACAACAGTAATCATGGTAGAATGAGTAGGGATATATATTTAATGGATTACATCTTGATATGCGTTGAAAAAAAACAAATTTTCACCATGCCTCTAACTTATAATTACTCCTCTCCGGGGGGAAGGGATTGTTATCAATGGGGAGGTTAAAACTTTAAAATTTTAAACAACATTTAGAAACTCTATCTAATTTATCATTAAAAATATCAATATCTGACTGCTGAGCAAGCAGAGAATTGAGCAGAGAAATAGCCTGATAAGTAAGAGCAAACTGAGCAATGATCTAAGATATCGAGCAGATATGTACGTAGATATCTCCTTATCCCAGTAGTGGATCATAAACGGTTGATATAATAATAATAATATAAATAAAAATTGTAATCAATTATAATCAACTAGCTTTTACCCGCAGCTTCGTCCACGTAACCGAGATATGTTTACTGTCTAAGAAAAAATATATATGTTCTTTATTGCACTTGTAAGTTACATATAATATAATATATTTATAAATGTTGTGAGCAAGGGTGGACTTATTTCTGACAGAGATCTCTTCCAGTCAACCCAATACAGTGAGAAAGCATTTCGTACCTATATCTCTCTCCATCCCTTGTAGTATGTATATACTAAGTTTCATACTGATTGCTTAAGCCGTTAAGATGCTAAGAGGGGTACCAAAGAAACTTACTTTCATAATGTCCACCGAAATGATGAACCAACATCTATTGTTCTAGCCGTTGTAGGTAAATTTGGAAATCTTGATTGGTTGTGAATTCGAAAGTGGGTGCTCCACCAAATGGTAACCTAGCCATAGTTAACAGTAATAAAATAAACGTGCGAGTGCGGTCGTCACTACTATTGTACTCGTATATTGCGAAGTTGGGTACGTGACAAGTGAACACAAAGGTCGGGTACACACTGGTTTCATAGACAAGGTCAAATGACTTATAAAGATGGACGTAGCCACCCGTACATACTGAATACTACCTACATATATAATACATTATATATTTAATAATCATCATATCAGCCTTTAAGTGTCCGCTGTTAAACATAAGCCTCCCCCCTTGGGGGGTTTGTCAGTAGTTGTCATCAGTAGGCGGATTAGGAACCGCACTTGGGCTTTGTAGATGTTTTAAGAGGGATGCTGCTGCCCATCCCTCGCCCTCCCTTAGTCGCCTCTTACGATACCCACGGGAAAGAAAGGGGCACATTTGTTATTAGTAAGGATTAATTACTAAAACCTTCAAACTAACTTCTAACAATTGGACTGTTTTGTCTCTTTCTTTCAAAATGGGAATTTAGTGCAATAGAGAAAGACAGAACCCGTCAATAGCCAAGATAGGTTTATAAAACATTTAACGTTTTTATGAATAAGGTGATATTAATTTATTCCAAATTTTAATTTAAACATAATAGTTGTTACGGTTTTGTGTCGTGCGTCTCGCTCATACACTCATTGTCTGTGACAGCTGCTATCTTTAATTGGTCTAATTCGTCATAGTCGTAGAATTCTGACGGATCTGACAAAGATTAAATATAAAGATCCGTCGGTATTCTACGACTATGACGAATTGTCAGTGCATTAATGATCATCACACGGTATACCCAGCCAGGCAAAAATAACTATATGTATCTAATTGCCCAAAAGTCAAATTATATATTAAAGTGGCCACTTAATATGACAGATATTCCGCGCCCGCCTCCGCCAGTTCCCATCGCTGGTGAATTGTTGTACCATCGACTGGTTCAGCGAGTGGCCCAAGTCGGCTCTCGAGTCTGTCGCCACGCACTTCTTCCACAACATGGGCGAGCTGCAGACCTCCGACGAGGTCGTAGAGGCGATGGTGGTTGGTATCCATTAATTATTTCGTATCAAGTAACTCGGGATCATTCCGTTTGTTAGTCTATGGGGGGCTTCGAACGTTAAGGAGATGGATGTATGGAACGATGGTTATGATAGCTTCTTTACACCTTATATATCCATGATAGTTTGGGGGAAAGGGATTGTTGGTAATGGAGACTGAGAATCCCATTACTAGCATTATACCCAACCAGGTCCACCTCCTCGCGGTTCCCCCTGGAAACAATCATGGTTAATTCCTGATGAATACATCTGATGGGCTAACTGGCCTAATTTCATTCACATCTATCACCCTTCACTGGTGCTCCGCCAGCGTATCCCGTTAGCGTAGGCGGGGTTACTATACCATTTTCACTTATCAAAAAAAACAGTCCCATTACTGGTAATATCCTACCAAGTCAACCTCCATGTGGGATTTGGAAACCACGCTGGTTAATTTCTAACATATTTGCCATTATGAGCTAATTGACTTCTTATCGTTAGCATAGCATAGCAAGTCAGTATAACAAGGACGTCATTTCATGTTGACTCATTTAAAATATCCTGTGGTCGTTGCCTGCAGTCGGTGTGCTGCTTCGCTCACGAGAGCGTATCGGCGGCGAGTGCCCGGTTCCTGGCGCGGTTGGGCCGCCTCAACTACGTCACGCCCATGTCCTACATGGAGATGCTGGCCGCGTACGCAGACATGTTCCGCAAAAAGCGCGCCGCCATACTGGCAGAGTCCAATGCGCTGAAGACCGGTAACTTAATCATTGTTGTCTAAATACCATATCGATGTGAACAATAGGCTATTACTATTATCACTGCTTCGGTTATGCACACACGCTCCGCGATACGTTTGTCCTCGCGTATTGCTCCCACGGCACAAAGGCCGGCAGCACACCTGCAATAATGCCTTTAGTGTTGTGGGTGATCATGGGCGGCGGTAGTCACTTACCACCAAGTGAGCCGTTTGCCTCCTGTGTTGTAAAAAAAAATGCTGATTGACCCGTGACGGTATAGGCATAGTCATACATTACAATCATCATCGTTACATATATCCACTGTCACACTGAAGATATATTGGGGGAGTCATGAACAGTCACAAAGAATGGTCTTCTAAGCTTAGGCAAATAAGAAAGGAATCTGCCAATACATACGTTTTTTCTACTTCATGCATAAGAACGAACGACATCTATATTTCGCGTTTTGTTCTTTTAACAGTCGTACATATGTTGTTTACCTGTATGGGGTCGTAATTGGGGTCGTATTTTGGGTTGTAATTGGGGACTTTGATTCTTCTGCAAATATTCCATATTCAAATCGTTATTATCCTTATTTATACTCCTAATATAAATGAGAAGGTGAGTTTATTTGTTTGTTATCTCTTGGCTCCTTAACGGCTTTACCAATCACTGCTTAATTTGGTAACACGCACTATATGGGCTGGAGAAAGACATAGGGTACTTTTTAGTACCTGGTCAGTGAACATATCTCGGTCACGTGGACAAAGTCGCAAGTATAGTTATAAAGCTATAAATTATTTATATTATATTTAGTATTTTTATGTCCCTTATTTTAACTATTTGACACACAGGTCTGAACAAGTTAAACCAGACAGAGGTGGAAGTGAAACAGCTGCAAATAGAATTGGCGGAACTGAAGCCGCTCATGGAACGAGCCGCCGACGAGACGAGGAAGGTCATCGAGCAGATAGCTATAGACACGGTGAGATGTTACAAATGTTAAATTTAAAAAGACGTTTTAACTGACTTATGATTAGAAGGAATGAGTGAAAAATAATAGGGGGGGGGGATCTAGGTTTATTCGATGGATTATTTTTTGTGTTTTATCTTTTTTTAACTGCAAAGTGATTTTATTATGACTAATTAAGTTTTTTAAATAAGATTATATCTAATTTTTTTAAACTATGGTGACAAACAAGCATATGGCCCGTCTGCTGGTAAACGGGGTAACCGTAATCAGAAAATGGTAGCCGTCGCCTATAGATATTAATAGTAGCATGGACATAACAGAGTATACTGTGTCGACTATGATACCACTTGTTTCCTTTGCATATACATGTTTACAGTCTTCTTAATTATCTTTTTATTTTTTATTACGTTTTGTTTATTTAGTTTTTTAGTTTTGTATGTATGCTAGAGATGCAAATAATTTATCTACATACATACATACATATCTGTCACGCTTATCTTACATTAGGGTAGGTAGAAACAATGGAACGCGAAATGTTTCGAATCAAGCAAACCTTAAATAATTTATTTATTTATAGATTAGAATTTGCCGTATGGTCTTGGTGAAAAATAAGCTACTCCTTCCTTTACCGTAGATATGGGGTAAGGGGCGACTAAGGGAACTAAATGGTCGAGGGATGGGTAGAGCCCCCATTAGGGGTTTTTTGATGGGTGAAAATGGTATGGTAACCCCGCCTGCGCTAACGGGATACGCTGGCGGAGCACCAGTGAAGGGTGAGAGATGAGAATGTAAACAGGCCAGTTAGCCCATCATGATGAATTCATCAGGAATTAACCATGATATTTTCCAGGGGCAACCGCCTGGAGGTCGACCTGGTTGTGTATATTGTTAGCAATGGGATTCTCAGTCTCCATTACTAACAATCCCTTCCCCCCCCCCATTAGGGGTAGGCCTGTGTTCAGTAGTGATCAGTTAACGGTTGATATGATTAATTTCCCTTTCAATTTTAATAATCGCAGCTGTTTTTTATACGAATTAATCTATAATTTTACAGTCTTTTAATAATAATAATAATAATAAAGGAAGATTCAGAAAGCGGTGCTCTTAGATTCTGCCCGCATTGTACGCCGGTTTCTCTCCCTGGGGCCCTGAACCCCGGCCAACTGTGCTTTTGCCGGGAGTTAGTTGCCATCTCCTCTCCTTAAGAGGGAAGATGAGAATTTGTGAGAAAATTGAAAAATAATAATAATTTTTCGTTGACAATTGATTGCATTTAGGCAATAGCAGAGGAGGCTAGGATCAAAGTGGAAAAAGAGCAAGCCATTGCCGAGAAAATGGCGCAAGAGACCACCGCCATGGCCGAAGATGCACAGAAGGATTTAGGTATGAATAGCTCCCTTGATACTATGCCTCGTTTAGTGTGGACCAACCGAGTTCTTTTTTTTTTATATACAACTTAAAATGGCAAACAAGCTGATGGCCCACATTCATCAATCTTTTCATACATGCTCGCCTGTTACGGGTACTTTTAACTTTAAACTAATAATATAAAGAGGCAAGCTACATTATCCGCAAGTAATATTATCTGTATTTTATATTCAAAGAACTTAGAGAGAAAGAGAGGGAGAGAGACAAATAGAGAAAAAGCTATATTTTAAAATTCTAACTGCAATGTTCAAAATTTATTACAGACGAAGCGATGCCAGCGCTGCGTGCAGCGGAGAAAGCGCTGCAGGAGTTGAACCGTAATGATATAGTAGAAGTGAAAGCGCTGAAAAAACCGCCCGCCGGCGTCGTACTAGTCATCGAGTCGCTCTGTGTTGTGTTCGACATCAAACCTATCAAGGTGTTTTATTATTTTATTTAAACACTAGTTGATCCCGAAAGTATATTGATCTGTCCCCTACTGTCACCTATCGGATTTATCGTAAAAACCCAGTGGGGAAATAAAGAAATGTGTGAATACGTTATAAACTTTTATTAAAATCAAATGAGCAATTTCGGAGATTAGCGCGAAGAAACATCGTGATACGTTTTTGTATATTAAGATTGAGTGTCCTCCTATTTCCCTACTGTGGTTTTGCGATAGACCCGGTAGGTGGCAGTAGGGGGCAGTTCAACATTTTCGGAATAAACTTGTTTGTTTCAAATTGAGAGATAATCCTAATAAGTGAGATAGACGAGTGTGCACTGGTGTACTGCGTTCTGGTCTCCTATACAGTAATCCCCTCTATAACAAGGTACTTTTATAACGCGTTTTCATATTACGCGATTAATACGGGTAATCCCTCGTATAATACGGGTATTCCCCCATATAACGCGGGGCTTGAATATTATAGTAAAAAAATATTTCGGTGGAACGTTATTTCAGGATAGCTCCGACAGCAAATAAACATGTAATAAAACTGTTAATTTATTTGAAATGAACTGTTTTTTAGTTTAGTAACATACGCATAATTTTTTTATTTAAAATGTTATTAGTTTGATTTCTAATAAAACATACATACATATTTCGTTCATTACATAGTTTTTTCTTAATATTCAATTTAAAGTGCCTTTAACGAGAAAAGTTAAACGTGAATCATTTGTACATAACGCGTTATACGGGGTCGTACAAGCGCGTTATACGAGAATAACCTACAACCTCCAACCTACCAGAGGGGACTGTACAAAAGTCAGTTGCTTGGGTACCTCTGTCCCATTTGTGTTTCTACTGTGAAGCAGTTGTGTTTGCATGGATGTGTTTCAGTTTGAAGGGTGGGATATGGCGTAAATTTACAGGGTACAGAGAAATAACACCTGAATCCTCAGGAATGGCAACGCATGGGGAGTATCATGGGCGAAACAGTGTACTCTGTTATGTCCACGGTACTGCCTATATCTATAGGCGATGGTTACCACTTTCTATCAGGTGGGCCGTCAGCTTGTTTGGCATACTAAGTTGTATAAAAAAAAACAACGGGTTTTCCTATTACGCGGAACGAATCTACCATATTATAGGGGGGATAACTGTATTTACATATTATTGTTTGTTGCCAGGAAGCGGGTGCTTCATTTGGTGCGAAAGTGCTGAACTACTGGAAGCCGGGTTCTCAAATGTTGGCGGACCCCACCGCGTTCCTGGACTCGCTGATGAAGTTCGATAAGGAGTCCATCACTGAGGACATGACCAAGAAACTGAAGAGGTTCATCCAGAATCCCGACTATGAACCTACTAAAATTCAAAAGGTAAGAAGTTGTGACACATTTTTTTTTATGATACTTAGAAAATTTACGCACTTCAGTGACTTTTTTTTCTCGCTTTTCCTTAACATAACCTTGCTGTTTACTTTGTTTAAGTCATAAATTGTTTTATTTAATCTTCTAATACAGTTAGAGATGGGCAATCCACCTGGGTGGGTTTAAAGTCTGGTGGGTAAAAACCGGGTGTTTTGGGTTTATTGGGTTTAAACCCCATAAACACCCAAATTTTTGGGTGTTTATGATTTTGTACTTCATCATCGTCATCTCAGCCGCAAGACGTCCACTATACTGGACATAGACAATATTATTATGCAGCCTACAGAATAAAAAACTTTTAATTTGATTTTGAGTTTATTAAGAAAGAGATGAAAGTAAAATGTAAAACTACAGTCAATCACTGTCAGATTCAGAGTTATTACAAGCGATGAATTGTATAGGTTCGATAGGCTCTATTTCGTCTAAACTGTTATGTTCATTTACTTGCTCAATGAAAGCTTCTAAGGTATTTTCTTCATTAAACTGAATGTCCTCGCATTCAGCTTTATGTTTAAGATTCCAGTTATAACAAATGAATGAAATTTTTTCAGTTCTTTCAGTTGTAAGTCGATTTCTTTTGTTATTATGTATGTAGCCTTGGATACTAAAGGAACGCTCAGTGGCTGCCGAAGTACAGGGAGCTGATAGAATACGAATCGCTACTTTGCTTAACTCAGTGGAACCACAAATACCTTTCCACCATATTAGGGGCTCAATGCTATCTAATGAGCTCCATACAAATCCTCTGGCCCAAAAGTTTTCTTTAGCTTTATAACACGCCAAATCTGCCATTACATTTGACAAACTTAAGTGTTGGCTTAAATTGTAGATAAACTCCATACCCTTAAGTTCTTCCTCTTGAGTAAGTTCGACTCCTAGAGTCCTGGGGTCTAGAATATATGCTGCAAAATGTATTGGCCTCATTGCCATATTGCATCTTGAAGATACTGATGTTAGAATCTGCTGTTTGCTTTCTTCGCTCAATGTCGAAATCTCATTTAATGCAAAACGTATCTTAGCTTGTACATCTCTAAATGTAATGTATGTGCGATGCAAACGATTCTGGTCGCTCTCTAAGTAAAATATGCTTTCAGTGACTGGTTCCAAAATACTTATACATTCCCCTGTCTTCGTCCAGAAATCATCACTTAGAATTAAATCTTTAATATCTCTTGAAATTACCACATCTTCTCTAACTGTTAATATTTGCAAAGCTATCTTATTTGCTTTCAAACTTTTTAACGAAGTAACATGACTTCCCCATCTTGTAGCACAAGGCAATTTTAGTGTTTGTGTAGAATCTTCACCCTGCCTTGATTTTATCAACAAGGAACTTAATCGTTGACTCCTTTTAACAGTTTTTATTATATTTATGGCTTGCATAATAAACACAGTTACTTCTTGTATCTTTACAATATCTTGGCACAACAAGTTAAGGATATGTGCACAGCAACCGAGAGGAACAACATGTGGATATTTGAGTTTTGTTAATTCGAATGCCTTTTGTATATTTCTAGCGTTATCGCCAATAAGTACAAGAAACTTATTTGCTCCATACACTTTCATTACTTTTTCAACTTCTTGGCTAAGGTATTCACTAGTGTGAGGATTACTTTCTGTATTCAAACTTTTAACGTATGCAGGTTGAGGTTTTGATATAAGAAAGTTTATTATTCCTTCATTTCTTAAATTAGACCAGCCATCGCACTGAAGGTGTAAGTAACTACAAGCATTTAGTTCCTCATTTAACTCAAAACGCATTTCTCTATATATTTTATCTAAGTATTTTGTCGCTAAAGCTTTACGTGAAGGTATTTTAAATTTTGGTTGCAATTTTTCGAAAAATTGTATCCATAAAGGATGTTGCACCATCGATAATGGCGTCCCTGTTACAAATATAGCTCTCGCTAATTCTGTTTTTATATGATCATCGGTGTCTTGAAACTCAGCATTTATTGTAGTGTTAGCAGACGACGAGGGGCTTATAAAAGAATCATTTGTCTCTATCTCTGACAGTCCAGACATTTTGGTTTTGGACGAGCTATCTTTTATAAGTTTCATAGAGTCTTTTAATGTTTCTGGAGATTTTGGACAAGTGATAAGATGTTGAAGCATTTTGGCAGCATTACTGAATTTGTAGACCTTATTACAAAGCTTGCAAGAAACAGACTTGTTTGGTAAAGTACGGTAGTGCTCCCATATGCGTAAATCTTTAGGTCTCCCCATTGAACCTAAAAAAATGAACGATGATTAGTTGGTCTGACGAAAATTCAACAATAGAGTGCCTATTTTTTTACAATGATTATTTCTTGTTATTTACAATAAATTTATTAAAAAAATAATAAAATAAATACAAAAAACCTTTGTAAAATTACATCTCCTCGGAGGATTAAACGCAGACGCTAGTTTATTATCGTATTGTTCTGTATTTTTCTCAGCAACTTCTTTAATTCGATTAGGTACTTACGCATATTATGTTAAAAATAAATATCTAGTACACATCTTAGGCTATCCACCATTATTATCCAATGACGACTCTCAGCTAACTATGCACTATCATCCAAAATAAACGTGTATGGAAAATTTTATCCCAGTCGGTTGAGGATTGAGGATAATTGCATCAACATACGAACATACCTACATACTTTTATTTACATAACGCAAGCTAAATAAAAGCTTGTAATAATACATCTAATTTTAAGTTAAAATTGTTAAGTGATCATGATATAATTGTATCATTCAAAAATCCACTTACCTTTAATTATTTCTTGTTAAGTATAAATATTATTTCAAATCTGCTCCCTTAATATGCACTTTTTTACTGCTTTTCCTACCTAACACGTTACCAGGAAGTCACGTTACCAGAGTCAGAGTAATAGTGAACACGTTTGACAGTGATTGTCGTCGCCTCATATTCAGCGTCGACGAATAGGGGAATCCCCAGTCATAATGTATTGCATGCGTGGCGGTCTTACTTCAAATCCATAAACAAAGAGATAATTACAGAACTCGATACTAGATGGCGCTGTTTTTGTTTGAAGAAAGTTTGCGGGCTAAAATACATAGAATTTCATCAATGACTTCCACAAAGAACAACATTTCTGTTTTTTCTAAGTCCGTATCTCTTCCGTATATTTCATAAGATATAAGCTTGGGCTACATTGTTATGCAACGTGATTTTGTCGCTGTCTTGCTAGCAGGGTTGACAGATATACGATTTAAATCGTACTCATACTATTATTTGTCTATTTTTTAATGTACGATCGTAAAGATTATGATCGTAATTCGCACAAAAACATACGACTTTTTGGTTACCTGGCAACATTTTTATTATGAAACGAACATGCTCACATCATCAGTCACATGCAACAATTTATTGGGGATTTCCCCTTCACATCTGGCAGTCCTGCTTGCTAGAATATAGGTAAGTCAGCCACAGTTACTGACGATCGATATTTAAAGGGTATTGTTTTTGTGCTAAATATTTCATAAAAACGTTATTTAATACTTTGTGGATTATTAATTTAGTTGATAATCACTGGAAGTAAAATGGATGCTAATTTGAGAGATCAAGATCTTCGTATAAAACAGTTAATAAAAGAAAATCTACGTAAGTACTCTTTTTATACCTAGGTAGGTAAGGTATAATAAACACAAAAGGTACTTAGATCGCGTGTGTTCGAAGCATTTATTCTAATAAATTTAATTTAAAATTGTAGAAAGAAAAAAATGTCTGCCAAGCCGTAGCCGAAGCCGATCTCCAAATATATTTGGCGATAGTGAGACCCAGTGTCCAGATGATTTACCCAGCGTCGTCGCAACAAAGAAAAAAAACGAGGATAAAGTAAAAGAAAATTTACTGAAAGAAGAAACAAACTGTTCTAAATGCTTAATTTATGGAGAAGAGGATAAAAGAAATGAGTATTTCGGACTGTTAGTGGCTCAAGAATTTAAATATATACGGCCATGTGTGCGAACGAGGTGTTATGAAGAAATTTTAAAGTATCTACGGGAAGCAAAAGGCCAGCATGTTGATCAACTGCAACATGAAAACACTGAAAATTAATTACTTTCATTTTATTATATATAGATTTTTAAAATTTCCTGAAATATTATTAGTTAACGTTTTATTTAATATTGTAGAATTGATCAATACAATTTATAAAAATAATTTATTGGTATTACTTACATATTTTCAAAAAAATACGTAAAAACCTATTTTTTTGGGTGATTATGGGAGTTTATGGGTGTTTATTGGGTTTTTACCAAAGCACCGGGTTTAAACCCGGTGCTTTGCCCATCTGTAAATACAGTTAATTATTTACTATAGTAATATTTTATATATTTATTTATGTATGTATATATTATATGTATTTGTTTTACATATTATGTGTTTATATTAGTTTAATTATATGTTTATGTTATATAAATGTATTAAATATTACTTTTTGTATTTCCTCTATTCAATAATGCACCTTTTGCTTATTTCTCGGTTTGTCCAATGGTTAACTGGTAGAGAACGCCATCCGCTGTTAAGTCCACAAATGTACATAGAATACCGTCGCCTGTAGACATGAACAGCATTACAGGTATCACAGAAGATACTGTGATGTCAATGATACCCCTTATGCGTTGCCATTCGTGAGGACTAAGATGTTATGGCTTAGTACTCTGTAATTTCTTTGTCATATCCCACTCTTCAAAGTTGCTTCACGATAAAAGAACGAGATAGAGGTACAGTATGTGGGTTCTTTTTTTTTATATATACCACTGAGGTGGTAAACAAGCATACGGCCCACCTGATGGTAAGTGGTTACCGTAGCCTATGAACACCTGCAATACCAGAGGTATTACGCACGCGTTGCCGACCCTGAAGAAACCTCTACCCCCCTTTTGAGGAACCCCATGCTGTAGTTTTTTTGGGAAAACCTCGGCAGGGAGCTCATTCCACAACCTGAGTGTTCGTGGGAGGAAACATCTCTGAAACCGCGCAGTACGCGACCATTGAGGCTGTAGGACATAAGGATGAACTCCCTGTCGATGGCGAGCCGTACGATGGTAGGATGGTTTACGAAAAGTATAATTCGTACGTAGCATATTGAACTCTATCTCTTCTGAGTACTGTATAGATTAGTGTGGACAATCGCTTGTGTGGTCTAGGTGTCGAAAGCGTGCATGTCGCTGTGCATGTGGGTGCACGCGATGTACAAGTTCTATCACGTGAATAAGGCTGTCGCGCCCAAGAAGGAAGCGCTCCAGCGGGCCACCAAAGAACTGGCTGCTGTCGAGGGTACGTGTGTAGGATGCTTTTCCTTGAATAGAATTTATTTTTTTATGCAACTTAGAATGGCAAACAAGCTGACGGCCTACCTGATGGAAAGTCGTAACTGTCGCCTATAGACATGAGCAGTACCATGGACATAACAGAGTATACTGTTTCGCTCATGATACCCCCCATGCGTTGCCATTCCTGAGGACTCAGGTGTTATTCCTCTGTACCCAGTAAATTCACGCCATATTCCACCCTTCAAACGGAAACACAGCCATGCAAACACAACTGCTTTACGTCAATTTTAGCCTATCTTGGTATTTTTATCATCTTCATTATCTCAGCCATTATATGCCCTTTGCTGAACATAGGCTTCTCCCACAGGCTGTCATAAGGAATGGTCCTGAGCCACCTGCATCCACTGATTCCGTGCAATGCATTTGAGGGCGTCACTGTATTTTTTGTATCTTCTCTTGCATTGCCATTGTTTTGGTATCTTGATTATGATGAAATATCTGTTCTGGAAGTAATAGGATCTCTGATCATTTTATGTGAATTCTTAAATGATAATTACATACCTAATATCTTCATGAAGTTTCAGCCTATTCAAATAATCGGTTATTTTATAGCATTTAATGCTTGTATGTGATTCTTTAGATTGATATATTTTTTTTATTTATGAACCGATTGAAATAAAACAAACACTAAATATTAAGTGGAGCAAAACGCAACGCATTAGTGAAAACGGTATTAAAATCGGTTAAGCCGTTTCTGAGATTAGCGTGCACAAACGTACAGACAAACAGACAAAAATTTTAAAAATCATTTTTTTGGGTTCTAATATCCATATAATAGTATTTCTTATATATCTTCCATGTACAGACAGCGACCAGTTACTATTTTATTATATGTATTGATATTGATTTATTATTTATAAGATAATTATTCTTTTGGTAAACAGCGATGCTAGCAAACGCGAAAGCCAAGATGCGAGCTCTGTTGGAGGGCATCATGAAGCTGAACGCGTATTTGCAGGAGAAAGAGGATGAGAAACGCAAGATGGAGGAAGACATCAACCAGTGCCTCGCCAGAATGGACCGCGCCAACAGGTATTGTTCGACCAATCGATCGATAAATCAATCACTTACTTTGCAAATATGATATGTTTTGATCTGGAATTTGGAAGCGTCGTTTCTTTTTTTTTTTTTATACAACTAAGAATGGCAAACAAGCTGACGGGCTACCTGATGGAAAGTAGTAACCGTCGCCTATAGACATGAGCAGTACCATGGACACAACAGAGTATACTGTTTCGCACATGCGTTGCCATTCCTGAGGACTCAGGTGTTATTCCTCTGTACCCAGTAAATTCACGCCATATCCCACCCTTCAAACCGAAACACAGCCATGAAACACAACTGCTTCACGGTTGAAACGCAGTTTCAGAGATGTTTTCTTCCATTAACACTCAGGTTATGGAATGAGCTCCCTGCCGAGGTTTTCCCAAGAGACTACTTACTTAGGGTACTTCAAAAGGGGGGGTAAAAAGGTTTTTTCGGGGCCGGCAACGCGCGCGTAATACCCATAGTATTGCAGGCGTTCATAGGCTACGGTAACCGCTTACCATCAGATAGATCGTATGCTTGTATGCCACTTTAGTGGTATAAAAAAAGTGGTATCGGTGGGACTTGCTCGTGTTTTCATAAATACTTTTTCTCTTTGGATGATACAAAAAATCGTATGTTTTGATCCTCCATTGTTATTTTTGGATTTCCGCTAAGGTACTCTTACATGATTTAGTATTAACAGCAAGCACGTTTATAACGGCCTTAAGATATCCTATATATTGTATATTGCAGACTTTTGAACGGTCTGTCCAGCGAACGAGTACGTTGGATCAAGACAATAAAGGATTTGGACGTGGCTATAGTTAACCTGATTGGTGATATACTGCTCAGCGCGTGTAAGTAACCTTTACAAGATAAATGGTAATTATAAGCAAGTATTACAGATACAACATTACCTTTTGGTCCAGGCATAGAATAGGCCACGCCCTCCATTTGCGTGGGTGTCGTAAGTGGCGAGTAAGGGAACTAAATGATCGAGGGATGGGCCCTCTCTCTTAAAATATCACCAAAGCCTAACTATGGTTGCCAAACCGCCTGCCGAGTGTGGCAACTACGGACACAACATTTGGAGAGTTTTGAAAACTCTAAATCTCCCAATAAGGGGAGGTCTGTGTTCCTCAGTGGATAGTTAACATATGATATGAATGCATAAAAGGTACCATACTTATGACAGTGCATTCTGTGATGATATCCACGGTGCTTCAAGTTCGTGTCTGTAACTGTCGGTAAATTTAACTGTATATTTGTATATGTACTCTAAATATTAATAGTTGTAGCACTTCAGCTGCCCGCTAACAACATGTTTTCTAACTGCATTGGGTTGACTGGAAGAGATCTCTGTCAGAGATAAGTCCACCCTTGCTCACAATATTTATAAATGAATTAACAATGTAATTTACAAGTGCAATAAAGAATATAATAAATTCACCACTATTTTTGCTGGGGGGGGGGGGGAGTGTACGTTGTGAACATGGGACTTTATGCAACTTAGAATATCAAACAAGTTTACGACTCACCTGATGGAAAGCGGTAATCGTCATAGACATGGATAACACCATATTGTTAGCAATGGTGCAACTAGTCTCCGTTACTGATACTCCGTCCTTCTTCGCCTCACTTTTGCTAATGTTGTATGTAGGCGCTGTTGGCTACATAACGCCGTTCACTGACGAGTTCCGGAGGGAATTACTCGCTGAATGGATGAAGCATATGAAGGTGAGGCTCCCTTTTTTTTATACAACTTAGAATGGCGAACAAACTGACAGCCCACCTGATGGAAAGTGGTAACCGTCGCCCATAGACATGACCAGTACCATGGATATAACAGAGTATACTGTTTCACCCATGATACCTCCCATGCGTTGCCATTCCTGAGGACTCAGGTGTTGTTCCTCTGTACCCAGTAAATTCACGCCATATCCCACCCTTCAAACCGAAACACAGCCATGCAAACAGAGGTATCGAAGCAAACGACTTTTGTACAAAGTCTCCTTCTGATAGATATAATATGATTAAATGTAATGATGTAAGGTATTATTACTGAATCTATACGAGTGTTGTTTTTATCTGGATAAAATTCTTGTGATAATGTCTAGATCTACTGAATCTTACTAAAATTAATGTACATAGGAACTATATATCCATATACTCAAGTAATCACAGCAGTAGCAAAGCAGTTAACTGAGTTGCTTATGACCGTAGATAAGTGAGTCGCATAATCTGTCCATAATATATCGCTGTACTGAATGTATCATGAAATATCTCTCTCTCTCTCTCTCTCTCTCGCACGTGGTTAGTCTTTTGCGCAGGACTGGGATGGCTATTGTTTTCACTACTACTATGCAATATAGAAGGGTATTTTTTTTTTAATACGTCCGACAGTTAACTGACACAATTGAATTATATAAATCCATTATTTGATTTTTTCATGTCATGCAATAAATATTTAATAATATGATTTTCATATTTTATTAATATTTCTAATACATATATAAACATTATGCCATCCATTTTTTTAGACAGTTGCCGTGCCTCACACTGAGGGTGCTACTCCTCTGTCGACACTTGGTGATGCTGTGCAGATTAGGTTAGAGATTGGATGAGTTTTTAAAAATATCAAATCCTATTATTTGGTAAATCTATTACTGATTTTCTCGTTTTTTTTTTTATATTTGATAATTTTTGAATATTTTTATATATTTTTTTTGCCCAAACACGTGTCGAAATTTAATCAGCTTATTTGGAGTTTGGCTATTTTATTTTTAAATCAAAAGTAAACTTGTTTCGTTTAATGCTGCCAGTAATTGAATTGAAAACTTCCAGGTCGATGTTTTAAATTTGAATTGGGAATATTAATTAAAATGGCAGCCATTTTTAATGATTTAGAAACGAAAACGTATTTTATGTCTATACCTATATATAAATAAAAGTATTCAGTCAAGATAAGCATCATTACGTTTATACTGTCATATCAGCCTATTTACCCACTGCTGAGTATAGGCTTCCCCTGTAGACTGCCATAAGGAACGGTCATAAGCCACCTGCATTCACTGACTTCCTACAATGCATTTGAGGTAGTCACTCTATCTAGTAGAGGGTCGTCTTACATTGTATTTGCCCGTATGGGGTTGCCACATATATTATAAAAAATTGTATCGTTAAAATTTTTCAATTTAATCAAACAACGGAGTTAAAAATATATATTATGGTAATCCTATTCACGCGGGGGGAAGGGATTGCTAATAATGGGAAGATTAGTCCCTATTGCTATCAATATACCCTATCAGGTTGACCTCCACGTGGTTCCCCCTTGAAACTATCGTGATTAATTTATCGTTGGGTGGGTGTGGGCTGGGCTTCACGATGGGTTAACTGACCTGACTTCATCCTCACCTATCAACCCTCACTGGTGCCCCTCCAGTGTATACCGATAGCGCAGACGGGGTTACCATGCCATTTTCACCCATTCAAAAAAAAACCCTATTCACGCACATATGCAAAAAAAGGTGACCTGTATTTAGCAAAATATTTTATGGAGACTCTCTGTTTATATAATCTAAGATTGTAACATGTTGTGACAGGACGTGGCAGATGTACGGGCTGCCGCGCGACCCGCTGTCGGTGGAGTCCGCGGTGCTGATGTGGAACTCGCGCCGCTGGCCTCTCATCATCGACCCGCAGACGCAGGCCAACAAGTGGATACGCGCCATGGTTACCATCACTACCACTATATTTTAAGTACCACACAATTACACCAATCGCCTGGTCTTCAAGCTAGTCCTCAAAATAGTCCCTGCATTATGAGGAATCAGGTAATAACATCTGGGGACTCAATTTAGTACATCCAGACCAGACCCGGGTGTCGTAAGAGGCGACTAAGGGAGGGCGAGGGATAAGCAGCAGCGTCCCTCTTAAAACATTTCTAAAAACCTAACTACGGTTGCCAATCCGCTTGCCAAGCGTGGCAACTATTGGCAAAACTTCCCATATGGGGAAGGTTTACGTTTAGCAGTGGACAGCTTTTTTTTTTTTTACAACACGGGGCAAACGAGCATGCGGCTCACCTGATGGTAAGTGACTACCGCCGCCCATGATCACCCACAACACCAGCGGCATTGCAGGTGTGCTGCCGGCCTTTTAAAAAGGAATATACTCTTTTCTTGAAGGTTATGTTGTCGTATCGGTTCGGAAATACTGCTGCTGGAAGTTGATTCCAAAGAATGGTTGTGCGTGGAAGAAAGTGCCTTGAAAAACGCACGGTGGAAGACCGCCACTCGTCCAGATGATTGGGATGAAACTTTAGTTTGTGGCGGGTTGTACGGTGGTGACAGCTAACAGCTGAAATGATGCTTGCTCGCAAGTGTTTATCAAGTAGGCCGTATTTTTGGCGTATAATATAGTCTTTCACTATTAAAACAATTGTTATCTATGAAATAAATTGGATATTGTACTTACAGGGTAAAATAGAGGGGTTGGTAGTGTGCAAACCAAATGATAGGGATCTATTGAGAAACTTCGAGTCAGCGCTGCGATTTGGAAAACCCATCCTACTGGAGAATGTTGGCCAGGAACTGGATCCTGCGCTCGACCCTGTTTTAAAGGTAAAATAATGCTTGATATCTGTTAAAGGGAGATTTTTTCCTTTATGGGGGAGACCTATGTTCAACAGTGGGCAGTTAACGGCTGATATGGTGATAAGGATCTGATAAAGGTACACGTGGTACTTCAAGTGAGGATACTGCCTCATATAAAGGCATGTAAATTACCTACTTCGGAAGTTCGTATTAGGACCTCGTATATTTTGCTGCGTTCAAAGAGGCTTTAATCGGAGATGTATTCGAGACTATGTTAGTACGGGGATCGAACATTACAATCATTGTCAGGTCTTCAGTAGCGTTAGTTTGTCTTAAACTTAGGCTGTGCTGCCCTAGGTGATTCAAATGATCTGAAAAAAAAATTAACAAAGTACAAATTGGGATAGTGAAGTTCGAACTAGAAGATGCAATATTTCTTAAAAATGTAATACGTATGCTATTAAAATAATAGGCCATTTTTATTTAGAAAACAAGCTTTTGGTCAATTTATAGTCTGGCGGTTTGTAAATCGACCAGAATCAGTCGAGTATGTAACAAGAACGTAATACGTCACTGTAATTTATATTTTTTACTTGTACGTGTTGTAGATTACAAGGATAAACCCAATACAGAGACAGATGATGTAGTTAGCTGGCAGCTAAAGTGCACTAGTGCTGTGAGAATGACAGTATCTATGTCGTTCTTCGTGTATCCCATAAACTATGGAATAATTAACATTATATATTTTTAAACAAACAGAGACAGTACTTTCGTCAAGCGGGCCAACTGGTGCTCAAACTGGGTGACTCGCTGATTCCATTCATGCCAGGCTTTCGGTTGTATATCACTACGAAACTACCCAACCCTCGTTACACGCCAGAGACTTCTGTTAAAGTTCAAATCGTCAACTTTGCTCTAGTACCCAGGTATGATATTGTTATATGCATAAAGAACATTTTATACAACGCTTGCAATACCAAAGGCATCACCTTGCACATTGTTAATCCTTGTGACTGAGGGAAAAGGGATTGTTAGTAAGAGAAAAGTAAGTTAGTAAGAGAACTAAGAAATTAATTTTCATTGCTAATAAGATATCGTGTCAGATTACGTGTCAGATTACGTGTCAGATTGTGCAGTGCCATTTTTTCTGGAAACGTGGTTAATTTCCAGCGAATTGGCCTCGAATATGATTTCATTCTTATCGTTTTATTCTCCACTGACATCCCGCTATTGTATATTATGAGTACTGGTGGGTCCACCTTTTCATCTTCATCCATGAAGAAGATCATTGTTACTTGAGGATCAACGTTCATATACTTAGTAATTTCATTTATCATACCTCATCTTTCAATCTGGAGCACGGCGTGCAATCGAGCTGCTTGGCAAGTGGCAGTTAATGCATAGGCGTTCTCAATCAGTCAACGTTTGGGACGTGCAAAGTCAACTGGTTATGGTATAAATGTTTGCTGCAGTGGCCTCGCGGAACAGTTGCTATCGATCGTAGTAGCCCAGGAGCGGCCAGACCTCGAGGAGTTGCGCGGACAACTAATCGTGTCGCGTGCGCAACTCGCCTCGCAACTGGCCGACATGCAGGCGGACATCTTGTACGGCCTGTCCAACAGCGAAGGCTCCCCCGTGGACGATCTACCGCTCATACTGACGTTGGAAGCGATCAAGATAAAAAGTGCCGAGATCATTGTAAGTCACGTCGTGTGATATGTTAGTATTAACCACAGCGAATCTATATTTGTTGGGTTATCCTATTTTTTTATGGAACTTAGAATGGCAATTAAACTTAGTTTTATTATTTTACCTGTATAGGTGCCTTTATATGTATGTATAAAACAAAGTTTCTTTCTCTCACCCTCTATCTCTCTCTCTCCCTCTATCTCTCTCCCTCTCTCTGTCCCTCCCTCTCTCTCCCTCTCTCTGTCCCTCCCTCTCTCTCTTTCTCTTTATCTCTCTTTCTCTGTCTATCTCTCTTTCTTTCCTCATCTTTTTCTTTCTCTCAGGCAATCCGATAGAAAGTACTACTTTCTATTAGATAGCTTGAGATTACCATCTTCTGTATGGTATGTGAAATACCAGCACGTATGGTACTTCACACGCTTTGCCGTTTCCAAGGATTAGGGTGTTATGCGTCCGTACTCTGTAATTTGTTTTATTGCTAAAAATACAGCCACGCAAGTACAGCTGCCCATGTAGATGACTTTTGAACGTAGTCTCCTTCAGGTAATTAATTTTAGATGCAACAAATCATTTTGATGAAATGTATTATTCACTTTATTATTAGATCAAAGTAGAAGACATAGAGAAAACAACCATAGAGATCGACGTTGCTCGCGCCGACTACGTGCCAGTAGCCAACCGTGGCCAGATCCTGTTCTTCTGCTTGTCGGGTATGGCGAACGTTGACCCCATGTACCAGTACTCGCTCGAGTGGTTCGTCAAGCTGTTCATACGGAGTATGGCGGAGACTGAGCCCAACGGTAACTGTTTGTTTTACCATAATCTTTCCATTGTTTGGAGCGGGCCCCTGTTCGTAAAAGCTGTATCGTAGTCGACTATTAAACCAAACGAAGGGTAGTGGTATTGTAAGTAATGGTGATTCATGACTCCATTTATTACTATTACTATTGAAAGATGGGCGTTTTCAGGCTGAAAAACCTGTGACACTGCCACCTTTCCATGATCTTTTGTGCTCGCCCGTACCATCGTACGGCTCGCCATCGACAGGGAGTAGGACATGACGATGAACCTCATGTCCTACAGCCTCAATGGTCGCGTACTGCGCGGTTTCAGAGATGTTTCCTCCACGAACACTCAGGTTGTGCAATGAGCTCCCTGCCGAGGTTTTCCCAAGAGACTACAGCATGGGGTTCTTCAAAAGGGGGGTAAAGAGGTTTCTTCAGGGTCGGCAACACACGCGTAATACCTCTGGTATTGCAGGTGTTCATAGGCTACGGTAACCACTTACCATCAGGTGGGCCGTATGCTTGTTTGCCACCTCAGTGGTATAAAAAAAATATAGAGTGTGTTTTCCAAAGGTGTGTGTTTTCTAAAGGGTATCGTTTATGTATGAGTGGGCTACAGCCACTCATTGATGGATCCTATACTAGTAATATATTCTATCAGATTGATCACCACGTGGCCCTTCTTTTCCCATGTGTGTCGTAAGAAGCGACTAAAGGAACTTAAGGGTAGAGGTATAGGCAGTGGCGTCTCTCTCAAAATATAACCAGAGGCTATCTGCGGTTGCCAACCCGCCTGCCAAGCGAGGCAACTATTAGCAAAACCCCCCTAATTTATGAAGGAGGCAACAGTGGACAGACAATGACTGATATATTGATGATGTGTGCAGGTTTCTGTTTGAATAGGCTCTGTCAGTGGCTTTGTCCCTTTCACATCTCTTGCTTCATCCTCTTTCGTAACTAGTCTTATGCATACACGTCAATTTCAGACTCTCTTGATATCTCCTTCAAATAGTACATTTTCTAACCAATCATAATAGTTCAATCTAGGCTTCCTTCTCCTTCTTCCTCCTTTTTTTGCATACTTTTAAATACCACAAAGGTGTTATTCTGTTTGTTATATAGAGGACATAGTGGAACGAGTAGAAACTATCATCGAGCACTTCACGTTCCTGCTGTACCAGAATGTGTGCCGGAGCCTGTTCGAACGACACAAGCTGCTGTTTGCATTCCTGCTGTGCGCGCGCATACTTCTCGACCGCGGCACCATACGTGTGCAAGAGTTCAACTTTTTGCTCAACGGCGCCAAGATTGAACAGGTAGTCACCAGAGGGAGACTTTGTTCACAAGTCGATTGCTTGGGTACCTCTGGACCATTCGTGTTTCAACCGTAAAGCAGTTGTGTTTGCATGGCTGTGTTTCGGTTTGAAGGGTGGGATATGGCGTGAATTTACTGGGTACGAAGAAATAACACTTGAGTCCTCAGAAATGGCAACGCATGGGGGGTATCATGGGCGAAACAGTATACTCTGTTATGTCCATGGTACTGCTCATGTCTATAGGCGACGGTTACCAATTTTCATCAGGTGGGCCGTCAGCTTGTTTGCCATTCTAAGTTCTATAAAAAAAATATCAATCCAGTGTTTTGAAGTCGGCTAAAGATTTGTCAGCTTGAATTTTTTAATTTTATGGGGACAAAAAGGAGTTTTTTATTGGATAAAGTTGGAATAGTGCACTGCTGTATGTTACAGATATATACAATGCTGACACAACTATGGACAATGAAATGTTGAAAATGCGACCAGATAATTTGAAATTTATTAGGGATTAACCAAGATAGTTTCTGAAGGGGTCGTGCAGAGATCAATTTGTCGGGGTATATTGCTAGCAACGGGAGCTAACATATTTGTCACTTAATACTCGAGGAGTGTTACCGTTCCTCGTAAAAACATAAAATTGTGCATTTAAGCAATTTTTTGGCTTCATCTATAGATGCAGATCACCACTTTCTCTGGTCAAATCTCGTGTAATATTTTATTTTTTCTATTTCTAATCAGGAGTTGGATAACCCCGAACCCAAGTGGATATCAGCCCGCATGTGGTTAGATATGCAACAGTTGGCATCGCTGCCTACCATGAAGCAATTCGTACTGGACAACTTCCTGCAGCAGATCAAGTTCTTCAAGACTTACTACGATGCCTGGAACCCGCACAAGTAAGTAGAAGGAAACAATATATGTCTGAAATGATGGTGATATATATATATATATATATATATATATATATATATATATATATATATATATATATATATATATATGTACACACACACATACATAGTATAGCCCATTCAATATATGTATTTATTTTAAATTATCCTTTCTTTTTTCCAGGCTTCCATATCCGAAGCCTTTAGATTCTCAACTGGATTCATTCCAGAAGTTGCTCGTATTGAAATGTCTACGACCCGACAAGCTTGTACCCGGTCTACAGGTTAGTTATATGAGTAATATCGGTATCGATCCGATATCTATATATTTGATTTCGATATCCCACATATCAGCCAGATATTTATATTCGTTTTATTTTTATATAAAGTTTGCTTTATTTGTCACGTCCATTTGTTTATAATAAATTGTCCGGTGACCGGTGACCTCCACTGATGCCTGGTGTCTTCAGGACTACGTGGTGATGGGTCTGGGTGCACGATTCGTGGAGCCGCAGCCGGCTGACCTGGCGGCGTTGTATGCTGAATCAGATCCTATGGCGCCCATCATCTTCGTGCTGTCTACCGGAACTGACCCGGCTGCAGGTCGCTAATGTTTTATTTACGGTGTGTGAAAATAACGAGGCTAGCAACAGCTTGACCCTAACATGACTCCTGCTGAACGAGTCACGTTGACTTAGCTACCTGGCGACCAGGCTGAATTTCGCCCATCATACTCACTAGTATCACGTCAGAGAATCCTAATAGCGCCGGTGGGGTTACTATTTTATTTTATTTCTGCTCGTCAATATCATCGTCATCAATAATTTGCTTCAGTCATTGTTTATTTATTTATTTATTTCAAGTAAACAGTTGCATAGACAGTATATATACTTAGTGCTGCGAAACTGCATTGCAGTTTGTCTGCAGCTTTGCCCTCATTGTACATACAGCTTTTTTAAACAATTATAAACTTATATTCTAATCCTATATACTATACTTATATCTTTATACATACATATAAACAGATATGCATATATACACATACATATACATACAGACACACATGCATATACTAAATTGTCAATAATTTTTTTCTGCTGATCCTCCTATATAAACTGATATAAGGCTCAGTATTGAATACCTCTGTCATCCTTCAAATTCATACAATAAAATAGACTTGAAAATCGTTGCTTTATCGAATTATTATCGATTGTAATTTTTTTGCCAATTACTTAGTTCTTTTTATTAGGTTGACAAGGTGAGTGAATAAGTTAATTTGGGAAATTATTCCAATATATGTATAATAGGACTGGTATTCACTAAAAATCCGAATCAATTTTCAAATCCATCATACAAAATGTTCAGATCTGATGAAGTTTGCGGACAAGATGAAGATGGGCAAGCGTTTCGAGAGCATATCGCTAGGACAGGGCCAGGGGCCCCTCGCTGAGGCCATGATGAAAATCGGCTGCGATTTCGGCAATTGGGTTTTCTTTCAGGTAAACTTAATGTTCTGAGAAATTGATCAAATTATGTTAAGGGTTGTCTTTTACCATGTTCAGTTTTAAACCCTGGAATGTACATCGTATAAAACAGTGCAGTTTCAGGGCAGTACATTTTCTCGAATGCGCAAGTTTTGGATAAGCTTCCTACTTAAGTTTTTTCTAGAGACTACAGTATGGGATTTTAAAAATGACGTATTGTTTTCTTCAGGATTGGTTACGCGCACAAGACACCTCTGCCATTGCATGTGTCCATAGGTCACAGTAATACTTTGTCGTCGCATGGGCTGTAGGAATTGTGCTTAGTACCTTTGTAGATAGATAGATAGATACATAATTTATTTACATTACTTACAGCACACAAATTACAATTCAAACATACACATATATTATGTGTGTGTTTGAATTGTAACACAGTATTGTGTACAGTAAAAGAAATAAAAGAATGAAAAAAAAAGCAACAAAAAAAAGCAAAATATATAAAACAACAATTTCCTTTTTTTTCATGCGTGTGCCATAATTATACAAAATAGTTACAACTCAGTTTATTGCTTTGTCCTCAAAAGAGAAAAACATTGATATTCTGTTGTGGCCAAGAGTCAGTCGCGAATTTCCTTATTAAAAATAATAATAAAAGGAGTATTGTATTATATGGAGTATAGCATATAAAAAAAAAAATGTATTAAAAATTAAACACTCAAATCTCTTAATTCCCTTTGTAAAAATTTCATGCTATGATAGTCTCTAAAGAAGATTTCGATAGGAAGTTCCTAAACGTCTTTAGACTAGATATATAATGCCCATTCCATTTCTATAGTTGTCTTTACATACTGTCAATTTGTAAAATGGATTGCGTATTAGTTCAATAAGTGGTGTTATACTAGAACTGTCACTTGTCGCCGTCCTGGATGCCGGTGCTGGAGCTAAACGTGGAACAGATCCAGCCGGAGCTGGTGCACAAGGACTTCCGACTGTGGCTCACCTCCACACCCTCGCCACACTTCCCCGTTGCGCTGCTGCAGAATGGTAACACAACAAACTCTTTATTGATGTGTACTTAGAATATTGTTACTAAATACATAAAAACAAAAGTGGCTTTATTGCTAAATGTAACCTTTAGCAGACAATCTAAATTGTTCTCCTTCTCAGACATTCTGAATTATTAACCTCGATTGAAAGATGATATATAAACATTAGTATAAAACTCTGTCGTGTATTTGTGCCAGCAAAGGAATTTGAAAATAGAATAAGTAAGGTTTTTTTTAAAAAAAAATGTTGTAAATGTTTTATAGCTTATCGTTTTGTTTTGGTTTTAAATTGAATAAACTTCTTGTCTAACACTAAAATTAAAAAAAAAATGCCTTTCATCCTTAAGTGTTTACCAAAGAACAACTTTTAATTTTTATCTTTTTTCAAACTTTGTTTTAACGATTTAGTACATGAAGATCCTAGAAACAAAATAAAAAAGAAAAAGAAAGAAGTGGAGAGGAAGAGTTTGTTAGGAATAATTTAGGTTTGACTTGTAGAAATTGTTAGAAGATTATGTACATATGGTATTTATACCTAATAAAATGTTATCTACCATGTATTAACTTAAAATCAGTAACGATACTGTATATTGGAACAGGCTATAAAATGACTGTGGAGCCCCCTAGAGGGATTAAGGCGAACCTGCTGAAAGCTTATATGAATCAAGTGCCAGACTTCGTCGATTACTTCAACTCTAACGACAGCAAAGTTCCAAACTTTAAGGTTTCCAATTTACAGTTTTAATATATGTTAAATTTTAAAAGTAATTTTTCATGTGTTTTTTGATTGCTCTGAGGCGTAACACCTTAGACCTCAGGATTTCTTTTTATACAACTTAGAATTGCAAACAAGCTGACGGCCCACCTGATGAAAAGTGGTAACCGTCGCCTATAGACATGAGCAGTACCATGGACATAACAGAGTATACTGTTTCGCCCATGATACCCCCCATACGTTGCCATTCCTGAGGACTCAGATGTTATTCCTCTGTACCCTGTAAATTCACGCCATATCCCACCCTTCAAACTGAAACACAGCTATGCAAACACAACTGCTTTACGGTTGAAACACGAATGGGATATAAGTACCCAAGCAAACGACTTTTGTACAAAGTCTCCCTCTGGTAATAATGAATGAGCATTTATTGGGTATCCATATTCCACTTGCATTTCTGCCGCTATGTAATACTTGCGTGGCTGTGTTACAGCTTGTACAGTGGGATATTGCAGTGAAATTATTTTGTATAGAGACATAGCTTTTAGTCTTGAATGAAAAGAGATTGTCAGTAATAGCATCTAATAGTCTCTTTGGTGGCAATACCTCCTAACAGATCTACTTCCACATTGTTCTCCCTGGAAACAATCCTGGTTAATTCCTAACGCTTTTGTTACGATGAGCTAAAAAGCCAGCTGTTTTCATCCCCACCTACAGCGTATATCGATATCGCAGGAGGGGTTAACATTCCATTATCATTCATTAGAAAAACCCCAATCCCAAGAATGACAAGACATGGTCATCTGCGGAGTATCTCTGTTCTATTCGTATTTCACACGTCAAGCATCTTTTCTTACGTGATTATATTTGGGTTTGAAGTCTGAGATATGATAAGACAAGTGGCAAACGAATTTGTCGATGGAATCGACATCGCTAGCGAGTCCGTGAGATAGAATGAGATAGCAACGCCAGGTGACTCATTCCAACTCACGGACTCGCTAGCGATGTTGATTCCAACGACGAATTCGTTTGCCACTTGTCTAGAGGTTCTGGTTGTAAAACAATATGGATATCACATATTTTTTTATTTTATTCATTTAACACTGTTGCGTTGTACACCACATATCACACTTTGTGACCTGTGATAAGGAGATCTGCAGTACCCTTTACATCTATAAGTCAAGGTTACCACTTTTCATGAAGGTGGACGTGCTATGTATTATTGTTTTTAGTGGCTGCTATTCTCGCTGTGCCTGTTCCACGGCGTGGTGCTGGAGCGACGAAAGTTCGGCCCGCTCGGGTTCAACATACCGTATGAGTTTACAGATGGTGACTTACGCATCTGTATCTCGCAGCTGCACATGTTTCTCGTCGAGTACAGCGAGGTTCCGCTGAGGGTGAGCGCTCATAGTAATTGTGGGTTCAGACTGGAGAAGTACAGAGCATAAAATCCACAATGTGTTCAATACAATAATGTTTTCAGGGTGTTGTTACGGTTGCCACGTTTTTGTAGTGCATCCAAAATGTTTGCTGCAGTATCGACAGATGACTTCTATGCCATCAGATGCAAACGGATCACATCTCTTTTATACCGACTGCGTGGCAGCAGTAACAGCATTCTGTGGGCTTTTTGTAATAAATGCGATAACCCGATCCTCTCATTGTGGGTCGAAAGTATTATAGGGGCCATAAAATGATTTGTTTTTTTTTCTACTAACATAGTTTAAGTCAATTGTTACTAAAAAAAATGGATCTTAGTTATTTGTAACAAAGAAAATATTATTATTATTATTAAAAAAAAAATAGATAAGTACTCGCCACCAGTAATTACAACTTTGTAAACTTACAGATTTAGGTCAAACCGATCTGTTTGTCTATGACTTTATTGTCAAATTGCAGGGTAGCTTTTGTTAAACTATCAGGTTTTAAGTGCTCACAATAAGCCCTATTGGGGGGAAAGAGATTGTTAGCAATTGACAGCCCCATTGCTAGCAATATGCCCTCTTAGGTTGACCTCCACGTGATTCCCCCTGGAAACCATCGTGAATAATTCTTGTTGAATTTGTCACTGACTGTGTGGGCTAACTGACCTTCTACATCCTCACCTATCATTCTTCACTGGTGTCTCGCCGGTGTATACCGATAGCGCGGGTGGGGTAACCATTCCATTATCATCCATTAAAAAATATGCCCCATGATCTGGCATTGCTACTGGAGAGTGCTCACTGAATGGTAAAGATATATTCTCCAGTGTCCCACACAGTATAGTCAAAGACACTGATTTACTTTTGTTATTTTAATATTCGATTTGCTCGTATTTTGTCGAGCATGTTTAGTTCCAACCTGAGAAGTAGTGGGTCAACTTCTTGGATTAATCAATGCTTCAAAATCTTCTATTTAATTAGTAGTAATTAGTACTTTTTTTAAGGGATAATAGTAGTGATTTAGCTTGCGCTAATAGGTTACACTGGCGTCACAATGACTAATGATGATCGGTGAGGATAAAGTCAGATCAGCTGACCCATTACACCATCACATGGTATATTGCTAGCAACGGGGTTCGCTATTCGCTACATATCTTCCCCCTGTCTGCAGATGCTGACGTATACGGCGGGCCACATCAACTACGGGGGTCGCGTGACAGATGACTGGGACCGGCGTTGCCTGCTGTACTTGCTAGCTGACTACTACTCCACCGCCGTGCTCAGCGACCGGTATATGTTCGACGAAAGCGGCGCCTACAAGCAGGTACGTGGAGCTTCTGGGTCAGAAATATCCATTCCAAGGGTATATTATTGGAAGAAAGAGCTATTACTGGGTTACTGGTGCAATGAGAGGGAACACTATTGAGACTAAGGTAGACATCAGCATAGCAGTGCTTGTTGGTTAATTATTACTTCGGTATCATGCTTAGATGGATCGGTACATGTTCAAAGAGAGCAGTGCGAACAAGCAGGTATAGGGGGAGCAGGGAAGACACTCCTGAGACAGGAGAAAATATTTCTGAGACAGAGGTGGTCCTCTGGGACCTCTGGGATAGTGGTAAAGAGTTCTGGAATGTGAGGAGACAGTAATGAGATAAAACTACGTTTGGTATACTGCTAGGAAATAGAGTCAGTATTGGGACAAGAGGGACATTATTAATGGGAATATTACTGGAATAGTAAACGGATACAGCTGGGGGAGATTTCTAAGACAAGGAGGGCATTACTGGAATAATAGATGGAAATTACAGGGTAAAGGTATTTTTCTTAATGCTTTCTACTCAAAAATTGTCTGGAAGTGACATCACTTCTCATTAAAATTAACTGTGATTATTATTTTATAAATGACGTGATAAAGTGTTTTTTTTTTTTTATATTTTATACAACTTAGAATGGCAAACAAGCTAACGGCCCACCTGATGGAAAGTGGTAACCATCGCCTATAGACATGAGCAGTACCATGGACATAACAGAGTATACTGTTTCACCCATGATACCGCCCATGCGTTGCTATTCCTGAGGACTCAGGTGTTATTCCTCTGTACCCTGTAAATTCAACGCCATATCCCACCCTTTAAACTGAAACTCAGCCATGCAAACACAACTGCTTCACGGTTGAAACATGAATGGGACAGAGGTACCCAAGCAATCGACTTTTGTACAAAGTTTCCCTCTGGTAAAATAAATGAATAAATAAGTAAAGTAGAATATTATTATTCTCCTATTGTGACATAGGAGATACTATTTGACAATAGACAGCCACTACTGGGACCAGGCGAATGCGACTGCGATAATGCAGCGACACCAATGGGATATTTATTGGGGGGAAAGGGATTGTTAGTAATGGACACTGAGAATCCCATTGCTAGCAATATACCCAACCAGGTCGATCTTCTCGCGGTTCCTCCTGGAAACTATCATGGTTAATTCCTGATGAATTCATCATGATGGGCTAACTGGCCTGTTTTCATTCTCATCTATTACCCTTTACTGGTGCTCCGCCAGCGTATCCCGTTAGCGGAGGCGGGGTTACCATAACATTTTCATCCATCAAAAAAAAACCAATGGGACATGGTGGGATATTACTTGGACAAGGAGATACTATTGAAAACATACTATTACTAAGATGAGACTACTGATGAATGGGATCACTACAGTAATAATAAAGCTGTATCTATAACATGATATCAAAGGTCACCATCCTCTCTCTTGAATGAATGAATGAGTATACTTTATTTGCATTATACAATATAGGGAATAAGCAAGGCAATAAATATAACGGATACAGTTGTATAAGTACGGTATGGCGGTCTTGTTACTGAGAGCAATCTTTTCAAGACAACCTTAGGATGACGGACTAATTGTTGTACAAGTAGATATTGTTTAATTAAGAAAGTAAAACAACTTCAACTCTCTCACAGCAATCACCGTCGACGACCATCGAGGAGTACACCAAGTACATCCGCACGCTGCCCCTCAACGACGACCCGTCGCTGTTTGGCCTCCACAGTAATGCCAACATCAGTTACGCCATGTCCGAGACCAATGCCAATATTGGTGAGTACATAGATAGTCTTAATATATATATAAATATTTATTTATTTTAAATGTTATTGTATCAAGTAAAAAAATAATAATTAATGAGAAGTGATATAAAAGGCAGCACCAGTGGGAGACTTTGTACAAAAGTCGTTTACTTAGGTACTTCTGTCTTATTCGTGTTTCCATCGTGAAGCAGTTGTGTTTGCATGGCTGTGTTTCGGTTTGAAGGGTGGGATATGCCATTGAATTTACAGGGTACAGAGGAACAATAGCAATGGAGTTATTAGACCTCATTACTAAAAATCCTGTTCCCCCTATTTAAAGTCAGCCGTAAAGCGTATTTAATCACAACTATGTATAAATACCTACACACAGACACGCTGCGCAACCTGCAGCCGAAGGAAGCGAGCGGCGAGGGTGGGCTGTCGGTCGAAGAAATGACGGAACGCGCTGCGAAGGAGATCCTGGCGGTCGTGCCCCCGCTGCTGGACCACAGGCACATCGCCGCCACGTCAGACACCTGTTTACTATTGTTTCCCGCGGCTTTGTCCGTTTTCATCAATATATAAAGTATCCTTCGTAGCTAATGAAAAATTTTACCAGAGGGAGACTTTGTACAAAAGTTGTTTGCTTGGGTACCTCTGTCCCATTCGTGTTTCAACCGTGAAGCAGTTGTGTTTGCATGGCTGTGTTTCGGTTTGAAGGGCGGGATATGGCGCGAATTTACTGGGTACAGAGGAATAACACCTGAGTCCTCAGGAATGGCAACGCATGGGGGGTATCAAAGGGCGAAACAGTATACTCTGTTGTGTCCATGGTACTGCTCATGTCTATAGGCGACGGTTACCACTTTCCATCAGGTGGGCCGTCGGCTTGTTTGCCATTCTAAGTTGTATAAAAAAAGTGTGTTAGAATATACATCTGGTATTTCATTCAAATCCATTCAATCATTTGTAATTCAGGTGTGGTCCCGGCAAAGAATGGACCACCCGTTCCTTTCCCGTGGGTGTCGTAAGAGGCGACTAAGGGAACTTAATGGTTGAGGGATGGACAGCAGCGTGCCTCTAAAATACCAACACCTAATTGTGGTTACCAACTTGCCTGCCAACCGTGGTAACTACTGGTAAAATCTTCAATGAAGGAGGCCTATGTTCTGCAGTGGACAGTTACCAGCTGATATGATGAACAAACGTACAAACATCCATATATCTGATGTTTTAAGAGAGACACTGCTGCCCATCTCTTGTCTCCCTTTAGTAGCTTCTTACGACACGCACAAAGTAAGGGGTGGTCCATTCTATACCGGGACCGATACGGGGTTCTCCAGATATATAACTGTGCAAACCGCACACAATTTGGTGCAGAAGTCTATGCGTGATACCAAAATAAATATAAAAAGACAAAAATCCTAAAAAATAGTAGTTTTAGCTACTTTTATGGTCAGTCGACATATCCTAGTCGTAGTATTTTATTATAATCTAAAAGGATTATTTACCTATTTGTGTGTTTGTTTGTGTAGGTACCCGGTGTCGTACAAGGAGTCGTTGAATACGGTGCTCATACAAGAGGCAATACGTTACAATAGACTCCTGAACGTTATCAACAACTCGCTGAGGTAAACTTGCATTTTGCAGTGTTTAAGGGCCATAAATATCGTAGAGGTATATATAGTACTAAATAACATTTTTTTTTATTTTGTATTAATAACCTTTTATTATTATTTCATTGTTATAAAAATTGTAATTATTGAGACAATTTTCATAAGATATCTGAGTTATGAAACGGGATTTTCTCGTAAGGTATCTAAGTTATGAAATGAGATTTTCTCGTAAGGTATCTAAGCGATGAAACGAGGTTTTCCCGTAAGATATCTAAGTTTTGAAACGGGATTTTCTCGTAAGGTACCTAAGTTACGAAACGGGTATTCCCCGTAAGGTATCTAAAGTTACAAAATGGATTTTTTTCATCGTAGTCATTTGATAGAAAAAGTTGGTATAAACGAGGCAATTAAAAAAAGCAGTACCATGGACATAACAAAGTATACTGTTTCGCCCATGATACCCCCATGCGTTGCCATTCCTGAGGACTCAGGTGTTATTCCTCTGTACCCAGTAAATTCACGCCATATCCCACCCTTCAAACCGAAACACAGCTATGCAAACACAACTGCTTCACGGTTGAAACACGAATGGGACAGAGGTACTCAAGCAATCGACTTTTGTACAAAGTCTCCCTCTGGATCTTTGATTCATACCGATATTATCTATATATTTTTTCTAATAATATCAATAACCAACTATCTGGACAAGCGGCGGTCTTCCATCGTGCGTTGGAATCAACTTCCAGCAGCAGTATTTCCTAACCGATACGACGTCATAACCTTCAAGAAAAGAGCATATTCCTTTTTAAAAGGCCGGCAGCACACCTGCAATGCCGTTGGTGTTGTGGGTGATCATGGGCGGCGGTAGTCACTTACCATCTAGTGTGCCGCAGGCTAGTTAGCCCTCTGTGCTGAAAAAAAAATACATATATACATAGTTCCACCACGTATAGGCAGTTACCTGATTCCAACCTCTCGTATTATCGTTTACTAGTTAACCAATAGCATTGATAAGTTTGCCAGTTCCTCATCCTTATAAAAGTCTATCCTTATGTCTTCTCGTTCAGAGACCTATTGAAGGCCCTCAAGGGTCTAGTGGTGATGTCCGAAGCCCTGGAGAGCATGGCGGCCAGTTTGGCACGCAACGCTGTGCCTCTCATGTGGAGTTCGAAGGCGTATCCTTCGCTTAAACCGCTCGGTACGTCATCATCATCATGTGAACTATTGTTTACTCGTGTAAATTGGTCACACAACCAGTTTAGTCCTCTTGATGAGGTCCAGAGGCGTGTTATGAGAATTGTCGACGATCCCAGGTTAACAGGCGGTATCAAGCAGCTTTTAATTTAAGGCGAGACTTTACCTCTCTTTGTATCTTCTACCGCCTGTACAACGGATTGTGTTCTGAAGAACTTTTCAAGATGATGCCCACAGCCACCTTTTACTATCGCACCACTCGCTATCGGCAGGGAATTCATTTTTTCACTTAGAACTAGATTGGTCACGCATAGTGTGATTTCAGAGGACTTTCCTCTGCGAATTTAGGTTGCAGAATGATCGTTCTGCTGAGGCTTTCCGTAGAAACTGCAGTATGGGGTTCTTCAAAGATTTCTCAAGGGTCGGCAACATGCGCGTGATATCCCGAGTGTTATAGGCGTATATAGACTACGGTAACACCGTTTACTATCAGGCAGTATTACTATATGCTTATTTGCCACTACATTAGTATACTATATACATTAGTATATATATAGCCATACTGTATCGAGGACAATTTGGACTACGACGAATTAGTGGGCCCAGGTTCGATCCCCGGTCGAACTGGCTCTAGTCAGAATGTTCTCGTGATTGTGTCCCCTGATTCCCCGTAATACAAGGTATTTTAGCTCGAGGCTCAGGCGATTAGTGTGATGATGTGGCACTTATGTGAATTTATTGGTGATGATACAGCCGCATGGGTGAAGGACCTGTGCCTCCGTGTGCAGTTCATGCAGCAGTGGGCAGACGGCGGTATACCGAAGGTGTTCTGGATCTCAGGGTTCTACTTCCCGCAGGCGTTCCTCACCGGGGCGTTACAGAACTACGCCCGGAAACACGTTATCGCTATAGATACTGTTTCGTACGCGTTTGAGGTTAATAAATTTATACTGATCTTTCTATATATTACTAGTGATCGGCCCGGCTTCGCACGGGTAGACAGAATTTTTGGGAATAGATTATAACCATTTCCAGAGTTCCATCTATTTCTATTCCAAAATTTATCATAATTGATTCAGTGGTATAGACGTGAAAGCGTAACAAACAAACAAAACACCCTTTTGGATTTATAATATTAGTTAAGGATTAACACTCTGTTATAATCTATTTTACATCAATACAGGGCCGTGGCTAGACCCAACAAAGAACTAGGCAAAAGAACTTTTTGATAGGGCAGAAGCCATAGTTAAGTGATTTCGAAAAAGCGAATCTGTTAAATTTTCTTGAGGCCTTTAATTTTAAGGTAGGGCATTAGGCCTTTTAAGGTAGGGCATTGCCCCTCTAACCCCCTCGCCACCCTCCTAGCTATAGCCATGCACCAATATCATCTTTTATTTAAGAGCTATACGTGTGGTGTGATGTGGTGTGCAGGCGTTGCCGAGTGCACCGGCCAAGAAGCCGGACGACGGATGCTGTGTCCGCGGCCTTTTCCTGGAGGGAGCGCGATGGAACATGGGCGACATGGCGCTCGAGGAAAGCCGCCCCAAGGAATTGCACACAGGTACCTGGAATTGTTATATTTGTACACGCTATTTGCTTTGCAAAACAGCGCTAAAATCAATGAACGGCGAGATGTTTGGTAGATACATTAGATGTATTAAAAAACTAAATTTTTGACCATTACTTTGTATACGTGGATTTCAGCAGTATGAAAATCGTTTAAATAAATCACTTTAGATAGCGTATTGAGATAAAATATACATATGTTAATAAATAAAATAATATATATATATATACCCCAAATGATTGGGATAAGGGTAGGAAGATGATGATTGAGATAAAATATACACCAGTTTTGAAGTAAGATCCTCAGAAATACGACTGTGAACACGCTAGTGTACTGTAATTGAGTGGTACCGAAAAGAATACACAACAAGTAAACAGAGAGTCAGACAGACAGGCGGCATTTTTAAAAATTATCGTATTATTTTTTATAGGCGATGGTTACCACTTTCCATCAGGTAGTGTCAGCTTGTTTGTCATACTAAGTTGCATAAAAAATGGCGTAAATAACACCTAATGGCGTCTTCTAACGGTCAACCATAAGGCATGCAGAAAATTAAGTAGGCTCATAACAAACAAAAAATAGAAATACAACCGAGTTGAGAACCTCTTTTAAATGGAGTAGTAACCCCGCCTGTGCTAACGGGATACGCTGGCGGAGCACCAGTGAAGGGTGATAGATGAGAATGAAAACAGGCCAGTTAGCCCATCATGATGAATTCAACATGAATTAACCATGATAGCTTCCAGGGGGAACCGCGAGGAGGTCGACCTGGTTGGGTATATTGCTAGCAATGGGATTCTCAGGCTCCATTACTAACAATCCTTTACTCCCAAATACTATATGTTAAGTAACTTATATGTATGTATTAGATGTAATGTAACTTGTACCTCCACGATCCACCGTCATTGTGAAAACCACGACCACTCTGCCAAGAGTGTACGACTGAAGAGAGAGAGAGAGAGAACTTGTACCTAGCCAATAATGATTTTGCATGCTTTACACTATAAGGCGACCATTTGTACTTCACAATAGATCAATGTAATAATCATGATAAATCAGAAATCATCTGTAAAAACAATGTTCTGGTAAATAAATCAGTCTATACCAAGTCAATTGGCCAGTATGTAGATAAGTTTCATAAAAGAAGACCGTGCCTATCAGTTATTGCTGACTGAGATAACAGAAGAGAGGTATATTTAAAATAATTTTTTTTTCAATGCTCCTTACGTATACTTGAACCAATTTTTTCTGCTTTCTAACAGAGATGGCGATTATGTACATGAAACCCGAGCAAAACCACAAACTGCAGCCAGGTCTATACGAGTGTCCCACATACAAGACGTTGCTCAGAGCCGGGACGCTGTCGACTACGGGCCACTCCACCAACTACGTAATGACCATAGAGCTAACTACACACAAGCCACAGGCGCACTGGATCAAACGGGGCGTCGCGTTGTTTTGTGCTTTAGATTATTAAACTTTTTATTAAAAACAAATTACGAACTAACATGTGTAGTTTCTTTTGTGGGACATTTTTAATTTTTTTTTTAATGGATGATAATTTATTTATTTATTCATTAAAAATAATTACAACATTATAACAGCAAAAGCCAAATGTTATAAATATAATGGCATGGTAACCCCGCCTGCGCTATCGGTATACACTGGCGGGGCACCAGTGATAGATGACTGATGAGGATGAAAGCAGGGAGAGGGAGACTTTGTACAAAAGTCGATTGCTTGGGTACCTCTGTCCCGTTCGTGTTTCAACCGTGAAGCAGTCGTATTCGCATGGCTGTGTTTCGGTTTGAAGGGTGGGATATGGTGTGAATTTACAGGGTACAGAGGAATAACACCTGAGTCTTCAGGAATGGCAACGCATGGGGGGTATCATGGGCGAAACAGTATACTCTGTTATGTCCATGGTACCAGGTGGGGCGTCAGATTGTTTGCCTTTCCTACCTGCCTTTGTGGTAAAAAAAATGGCCATAAGTATTTCCTAGTAAGGAAAAATTATCCGGGTCAGCTAATTTATACTTTAATCCATCATAAACAAAGAAAATACCTGTCAAAGTTCTCGATTATTCATTAAACTGCTTAAAAATCGTGTATTTGATTATACTTGCAGCATTATTTCCATTTTACTTTGGGCTTTATCTAATGCCATAGATTAAGAAAAGACCTACGCTGCCAACTTTTTACGTCCAAGCTCTAATGCACTTAAGTAGTACTCTGTGGTTATGACAATGATATATCTGTTGTGTGTAAAGTTTTTTGACACGCTCCGTGAATACCATGCATTGTACTCATAATATACCCTTCTATTCTTTCCCTTGAGGGATGGATGATAAGTATTAGAGTAATATTTCGTTCACAATTGACGGTTATTGATATTTACAGCTGTAGTAAGGTTAGTTTTATGTTTAAACAATCACACGGGGGAAGGTAGTACTTCGAGTTTCTTATAATATAATTTGTAAGTAAATAAATAAAGAATTTAACGTTATAAGAGGCGGGAATTAAGGTGATTATTTGGGTAAATTACGATGATTTACCTGGGTTATTTCAAACGTTTCGACTGGGTTTTTTTTTTCATTATTACCCATTTAGGGTAAAAATGGAATACTTACCCCGCCTGCAGTATTAATATACACTGGCAGGGCACTAGTGAGTGATGATAGATGAGGATGAAGCAGGTTAGTTAGCTCATCGTGACGAATTCAACAAGAGTTAGCCACGATGGTTTCCAGGGGGAACCACGTGGGGATCGACCTGATAGGGTATATTGCTAGCAATGGGGCTGTCAAACCCCATTACTAACAATTCCTTTCCCCGTTTCGACCGGGTTACATCGGCTGTGGTCAAGAGTAGATTGATGTAACGCTGTCATGCACTTTATCTACGAAACATATATACAAAAGAGGACGCTGAATGACTCACTGACTCATATATCAGCGCTCATCTTAAACCCCTGAATCTTGAAATTTTGCAGATTTTATAATTTAATACGACCTTTATATAACGTAGACGAACAGTAAGGGTTTTGAAAATTTAACCCCTAATGGGATAAAATAAACTTTAAAGTAATTCTCAACTGAGATATGTATACTACTAACCGACTAATATCATTAACTTAAAAAATTATAAATATTTTTTTATTTTAAAAACAAGCTTACGGCCCAACTAATTTAAAGCAGTTATCGTAGCTTATGAACGCTTGCAATACTTACATTCGTGTTTCTACCGTGAAGCAGTTATGTGTGCATGGCTGTGTTTCGGTTTGAAGGGTGGGATATGGCGTGAATTTACAGGGTACAGAGGAATAACACCTGAGTCCTTAGGAATGGCAACGCATGGCGGGTATCATGGGGGAAACAGTATATTCTGTTATGTCCATGGTACTACTTATGTCTATAGGCGACGGTTACCATTTCCCATCAAGTGGGCCGTCAGCTTGTTTGCATAAAAAAATCTTGCAATTTTGAATGTTTGTTACTTAATTACGGTTGTACGGATTTGAATGAGATTTAGTACAAATGTAGGTTATATCCTAACTTAATAAATTATTATATTTATGCATTGATTCACCTAGAAAAAGCTCCAAGCGACAGCCAGTATGTAAATAATACAAACTTACTTTTAGATAAAAAACTCACGGTAGGAAAAATAGGCAAAAAATAGAGCAATCGGATCTCGGTGCAGTAGGAAGACACGCTAAGTTAATTTCTAGCGAGATACAACTGTAAAATGTCCGGTGCCCGACGTCCCCGCTAATCTACTTGTGAACTTGGATTTACTGCAATTCAAGAAGAGCTAGATGGGGTACTCTTAAAAATATCGCATTATATTTTTTCAAGGTTTTGCAATTTCATAAAGAAATCTGTTGGATTTAGTTTGCAATCTTAATTCTTTTTCATTATTACCCATTTTGGGTGATAATGAAATAGTTACCCCACCTGCAGTATTAGTATACACTGGCAGGGCACTAGTGAGTGATGACAGATGAGAATGAAAGCAGATTATTTAGCCCATCCTGACGAATTCAACTAGAATTAGCCACGATGGTTTCCAGGGGGAACCACGTGCAGGTCAACCAGACAAGGTATATTGCTTGTAATGGGGCAATTCAACCTGATTACTAACAATTCCTTTCCAGAGGAAGACTTTGTACAAAAGTCGATGGCTTGGGTACTTCTGTCCCATTCGTGTTTCAACCGTGAAGCAGCTGTGTTTGCATGGCTGTGTTTCGGTTTGAAGGGTGGGTGTGGCGTGGATTTACTGGGTACAGAGGAATAACACCTGAGTCCTCAGGAATGGCAACGCATGGGCGGTATCATGGGCGAAACAGTATACTCTGTTATGTCCATGGTACTGCTCATGTCTATAGGCGACGGTTACCACTTTCCATCAGGTGGGCCGTCAGCTTGTTTGCCATCCTAAGTTGTATAAAAAAAGAGTACTATAGTATTATTGGACATCCGTTGTATTTTTATGATCTAGTCAATTATTACATTGTTCGTATTTTTCGATTGACTTTAAGAAGGTTTTTTAATTCGATTGTATTTTTTTGTCTGTTACCTCATAACTCTGCCAGTTGTAAATCGATTTGGATTTTTTTTATTTGAAAAGATATACTTATAGACTAGATTTATAGAAATTTTATCAAAATCTGTATATAAAATATTCTATGTGCTATGCTTAGATTATATAGATAGTGTCTCCATACAAATGCTTCGAGAAAAGCGACAGTCAACTTTTTCATACAATTTTACTTGATAAATAGTTATAAGTGTTTCTTTCATAAATTCTATATATTTTTTTTACAACACAGGAGGCAAACGAGCATGCGGCTCACCTGATGGTAAGTGACTACCGCCGCCCATGGTCACCCACAACACCAACGGCATTGCAGTAGTGCTGCCGGTCTTTTAAAAAGGAATATGCTCTTTTCTTGAAGATTTTGTACCATGCGATACTAATCTAAGGTGCTAAGTTAGGATATAACCGACCCATGTACCAAATTTCATCCAAACCCATTTAATAGTTTTCGCCTGAAACGTCCTTCCATCCAACGTTACAAATTTATTATATTACAAGGATCCTAATCTCTTTTGATTTTAAGTGACGATAAAACAAAAATAAGACCAAAATTTTTGTATGCCTTCAGATAAGGTGCATACATATAGACCATATTTCAAGCAAATATTACTATTATACTATTAGAATGATCATATATTTTTAGCTGTCGACTAAATTAAATACATATATTTACTTTATTTGCATTATACAATATATTATAATATATAAGTACAGTGAGGCATTGTTAAGTGCAATCATTGCAATGCTAATTTTTTTTTATACAACTTAGAATGGCAATCAAGCTGACGGCTCACCTGATGTAAAGTGGTAACCGTCGCCTATAGACATGAACAGTACCATGGACATAATAGAGTATACTGTTTCGCCCATGATACCCCCCATGCGTTGCCATTCCCGAGGACTCAAGTGTTATTCCTCTGTACCCAGTAAATTCACGCCATATTCCACTCTTCAAACCGAAACACAGCCATGCAAACACAGCTGCTTCACGGTTGAAACATGAATGGGACAGAGGTACCCAAGCAATCGACTTTTATACAAAGTCTCCCTCTGGTGCTCAAAATAAAAAAGAACTTTATTTTGAGCTAACAAAAGTCAATAAATATTAATAATAGAAACCTTACAAACATAAATGTAAATTATTATAATTATTGATATCGAAAGTTAATGATATATAATTTAGTTGCATATATAGTTATATATATAAAATTAATCCTCTACTAAGTACCGTTTATTTTGAAATAACTGTAGGTGTTAATTATGTAGGTATACTAAAAGAAAATTCAAGCAAAGTTCATGTGTTTCGGCATTTATTAATTAACCAACATGTAAGTACAGTCGTCTGAATAAAACATGCCAATAACTTACTTACTTATTTATCAATTATAGATTTTTTTATGCCACGTTTACTATGAATAAGGGAGAGGATTGAGCTTTCATAATGGGTACGAAAGGTTTTATTGTCAGTAATATATCCTGTCAGGTCGACCTTTACGGGTTTTTTTTTTGGAAAATTTGCTTTTGGTGAATTCATTACAATCAATATTAATTTTATTATTCTTTCCTTTATCTCTTACTATTAATTATTGTTTTACATATTTTTTGGATTGTTTAATTTCAGTGCAACGTACTTGGTTTAACTGTTATTTAAACACATATCGGTTGGGGGCTTGATGATCTGTACTACAGTTTTTAACCTATTTCAGAAACCAACTCCTCTACACAATGTAATGCAACCACATGACTGATGTGCTTTCATAGGCACCCTGCGTTATCTCTTACGGCCAGTGATCGGTCGTCCCTCAAATTGGGGACCGGTAAACAGCAGAGGTCGCCAGTTCGGGGGCCGACCACATTTATTGCAGTATCCGGCCGTTCCCTACCTCATGCTCATCAA